TATGGTCATGCGTTTATCCTATTTATAAATATTTACAAGAGATACCTCAATTCTTCTTGTTGAAATGACACCACTTCTATGTTTAAATAAGTAAAATTTTCATTATGTCTCCATTATTTTAAACATTTAAAACTACATTAAAAGTATAAAAACTAATCGTCCCCATTCGATGGCTCACATTAGTTTCTAAAATTTGAATGGATTTTACTAGTATTTAACAGACATATAATAATAACTTATTTTTTCATTAAACTTTGTAATTAGAGGTTACTAATTTAAAGTTCGGTTCCTATTATTAGTGTCTAATAGTAAGGGTTTAAATCCACTTTACTTGTAGTACCACTAATAAAGTATCTTGAAATTCAATTTTCTTTTATGGTAATTACTCCAACTTGAGATTAAATCTCTAATATAATCACTTCAGGCTAATATATCTAAACTTTTCATTTTGTATATCATTTATATGACATTATTGTCTCATTTTTATCATTTTAAGAAATAGTTGGTTTTGGTTGTGGCCACAACTCTATACTCATAAATTCAACAATTTTATTTTCATACTTTTATACATCTTTAATACAATTATACTTATAGTGCAATTGGATAAATTTAATGAATAAATCAAATCATTTTTTCTTTTTAAGATTGTTAAAGACTTTTTATGATTTTACTTTAATAAGTGTCTAAACTTATTAGCTTGTATAATTTTGCTCATAAAATTATATTGAAATTTTATAATATTATGGTGGTAATTTTTATTTCTTTTGATTTTTATCACCCCCACCATGTGCAAGTATGCATTCTTTTATTAAAGAATATCTCATTTAATTGTCAAAATATCATATATACTTAATCAAGTTTCAATTTCATTTATCTTTTCACTATTTGGTTTTTTTTTAAGTAAGAGGCTTCCAAATCCACTCTAATGAAAAATAACTAGCTGATATATTAATATTTCAATAAAAATTTTAAAACTTTTATATTTTAACTTAATATAACAACTTACATCAATAAACTAATTTCAAATATAATCATGCTTTTATAGTCCCCTTTTAAGATTTTTATCTCAATTCATAATTATTTATATGAATCTATTTCATCATGTACACTATTAATAAATTTTTTTATTACCATGAACAAAACCATTTCCATTATCCAAGTGGATCAAATAGCATTCTTTTTGCTATTATAAAAGTTTTCAAATTTCCATCACCCAAATGGATCAAATAGCATTCTTTTTTATACTATAAAAGTTTTCAAATTCACAAGACCTTTGAATCACTCATGGCTTTCAAACTAAATATATTTTTAAATTTTTACTATATAAAACCATAGATGATAAATTATTTGTACAATCTATGAATTAGACCATATATATAACAAAAAATTACCATAATGTGATCAAGATTGTGGCATCAATTTTGACTTATGGCTATATAAAGCTAACCATAATAATCCACATCATACCTATAAATCATATAGTTTTGGCTATTTAAGTTATCTCATTTATAGTGATAGCTTTTAGTGAAAACCAACTATTTAAATGTTATCATAAGTTTTTAATGCAAATAGTAATTGTCCAATGGTGAATTCCAAGTTTATGATTATTGAAACCTCTAAACTTGATTTTAAAATTTTATGAGAGTTTTATTTTTTCACTATTGTGTAGCCTATATATCTTTATTATTGATCACTTTTAATTGGTCATAACATTTTTGGATATATAATAAATTTAAACTTTACTCGTAAGACCAATATGCCTATATACAATAAGAGTACATAGTATATTTAACTCTAATTTCAAATACTTTCACAATTATTTTGTTATTAATATGTTCATATCTAGATCACTCTATCAACACAAGTCATGAAACATGAATCCAAAAAATTATTTTCATAAAATAGTATAAAAAATAATTATAATATGAGTTTTATTCATATTTCATGCAAAAACTCATGATGAATTTGTATTGGTTAAATCATTGATTGGTTAACTCCAAAGCTTAAGGTTTTTACAAACCAATGTTATTATCTAAGCTTATATGTTAATTTGATGTATAACCAGCTATATCCTTGCCATTGTCATGAAACTATTGTAAACTTAAAAAACTTGTTCACTTTTCATTTTAACAGCATTCAAAAAGTCATTTTTTCAGGTATAAAAAGCAAAAATGTCTTCATTATTTTTAACCAATAATATATTAATTTAATGATGGCATTCTATCTTCATAGTCCATATCTTTCTTATGACTAATTTAGACATTGACGAGCATCATTCAAAATGCTAATAACCGATAAATGCTTCAATATTTTTAATAACATGCCTTTTCTTTTAATCAATCATCTAATTAGCCCAAATTGTTGGTCAAATTTTAGTTAGTGATACTAATATAAAATTTACAAAATATAAGGATGCCATATATATATATATACATATATATATATACATACATACATACTTAATGTATTTTACATTACCACTAGCCACAATTCTTCATGAAATTATATATTCATTGCATATAATAAACTTGCATTAACTTATTATATTATAAATTCAAATAATTTATAAATGCTATCATTAATAGGAATAATATTTCAATACCTAGAGCTTTATAAACCTCATAGTTATAATAGTTTGATATATTTTTTAAACAAGCATCTTTTTAATCTCTTACTTGTTGTAAGCCAGTTTCATCAATCATAGTAATACAATAGGAACATTTATATTTCAAATTCTTGAGTTTATTTGTCTTACTTGTTTTGGCCATTAAACACAAATTGAATTGTACCTTAAACTTTTTCTTTGTGTTGTTCACATTAAAATTTTATTTTGTAAAATTATTTCTAATGTAATACACCTAGCAAGTAAAATAGATGTCACATTATCGATGTTTCTGATAATAACAATTATTTGCTTTATTATCCACCAATTAATCTATGAAACATCATAACTTAATAATAATTATTCACATACATCAATTTAATTTTAATTGATTTTTATGAAAATTGAACACTAGTCAAAATTTGAACTAATAATAAATTTAAAATATATATATCAACCTTTGATTTATAAACGACCAACAAAGATAAAATTATATAAGTAGCTTGACTCAACTTATTATTTTAATTTGGTGCCATGATTTAAAAATAAAATTAATCTTACACCCAAATATTATTTTCTACATATATTCTCCACTTACATATAATATTTCATGGTAAATTCCTTTATCCATTTCCAGTTGTTTTTCATAGAAATCGTAGGACAATTTGCCTATTCTATATATAACAAATATATGACAATTAAACAATCGACTATTCCATTAGAACTCAATTTAATTCATTACTTGATAACAAGTGATAATTCTTTTGGTTGTAGATCAATTCATGTCTTTCTCTTTTATGTTTTCAGGTTATTTCCTATCTTAGTTTTTATAAATATCGATTTTTCAAATAAATATAATACAATTTATTAAACTCAATTGTAGAGTCAATTTCAATATATGCATAAACTTATGTATTGTAATCAATATTTTTCATATTGTATTTTGACTTGACACATTAATAAAATAAATTATTACTGTGTTTATTTCATTCAGTCAATATTTTTACCAGTAATTATGCAAAAAATAAAACACATACTTCTAATGAAGATCTTTATGAGAATTAATATTTTGGTCTATAAAAACATTAATCTTTTGATACCTTGAGCCTCCTCTAATATTGATTTCCAAGTCATGCCAATTTTTTTCCTTACATCTTCTTTGTGCAAAATATAAATTTCTCATAATTGTCTTTAAATTGTTAGGAACAATAAATAAAAAAAAGATGAATAATAAAAAAAAATTTTAGCTTTGAAACGTAAATAACATTTTTTGAAAGTAGTTATGCCTTTAGGATATAATAAAACCTTAAACTTTTTAATTACAAGTAGTGAAAATGGTTATACTGAAAGATTTATTTATAATGAATGAACATATATAAACTTTTAGTTAAATGATTATGATTTTTTGTATAATCATAACTTTTATAAATAATATTTTATTTATATTCAAATAATTATAATTATTTGTCATACGATAATTATTTCTATTCAAATATAATTATTTAAAATATAAATAAAATTAATATAAAAATTAATTTTATTCATCAATAATTAAAATTTTTTATTCGATATGAGGTACATTCTAAACTATTTAAGTATATATCCTTCGTTAAAGGTAAAGTTCAGATCCCAAAATTTGACTGAGAAAAATAGAAGTGAAACACACTCTGAAAGCGGAGATCGAGATTTAGCTTTCATGTACATTGAGAAAAATACTTACTTGACAGGATAAGCAATTTTTTTTTACCTTGAACCGAAAAATAAGATATATACAGTAGTAAAATCTTTTCTGATCCAAAACTTTTATTTATCTCCAAGAATTCTAAGGAAAATAGTCTGTTAGTTTTTTTTTTTTTGTTGGTACAAGTCTGTTAGGGTGACGAGCAGCCAATCCCAAAGACATAATAGAGGTTAGGGCGACCAGAGCCAGAGCCAGAACCACAGGGGGAGAGAGAGAGAGAGAGAGAGAGAGGCATCTGTAGCTCTGCAAAAGCAATGCTTGTTGTGTCGACTTCAGGGACGATTCTGAGGAAGAGCCATGTCAAATCATGCTTAAACTAAAACCCTTTTTTTATTTTGTTTTTCATTTTCTTGATTATATATTTTGACAATTTGCTCCTCTTAGAATAACTCTGTCGTTCTTCTATCATTTGCGCCTTTTTACATGCAAAAACACAATACTATCCTTATCTCACTCTGCCATTTCTGGAATGCAAATGCCAGACAGAGACAACTTAGGGTTTCCCAACAGCAGCCTTTCACATACTGACACAAAGGGTGAAGCCATAAACTGGTAGACATTCCTTTACTTTCCTTCTTTTTGCTATCAATATTTGTTCAAGAAGTCCTCGTAGAAGAGAAAGTAGACTGCAGTCTCTTGGTTCTAAAGCTACATTTGACATTTCTAAATGCTTATATTTGTTGGTTTTGGTTCTGTTGTTTCTCGCTCTTCTCTCATGGTTTCTCTTTCTCTTTTCCTTGTTGGATTCCTTGTTTTGTCTTGTGGGGCGATTGCAGTGCAAAGAAATTTGAATGAGAGTGAAATTGTGATGGAAGAAGGGGAGCTTTTGGGGCTTTTTGATGTTATAGGTTCACTTCTTGATGAACCTGGTTGGGCTGAAGTTCATCCAGAGCCATGCACGGACACTCCATGGCCTGGTATTGAATGTGAGATTGGTCAAGACCCTCCAATCTTTCATGTTACGACTATTCACATTGGCCTTGATGTTGCTACCCCACCTTGCCAACCTTCTGCTAAAATATCAGATTCCTTGCTCAAACTACCTTATCTGAGAACTCTATCTATTTTTAACTGTTTTGTAACTTCACCAGTTACGCTTTCTCCTGCATTATTTGGTGCACTGTCTTCCTTGGAACATCTATCACTTCAGTCAAATCCATTTCTATCTGGAGAGGTTCCTCCAAGCTTGGGGAATATTTCTAGGCTAAGGGTCCTGAGCCTGTCACAGAACAATCTACAAGGAAATATCCCCCGTGAGCTTGGTGGATTAGCCAACTTGGAGCAGTTTGACCTGAGTTACAACAATCTAAGTGGTGAAATTCCTGAAGAGATTGGAGGACTGAAAAGTTTAAAAATTTTGGACTTAAGCTCGAATGACCTTGAAGGGCCGGTACCATTTGCTTTGGGTCAGCTTGAACTTCTTCAAAAAGTTGATTTGAGCTCAAACAGCATTCATGGAAGGATACCTCCAGAATTGGGGAAGCTAAACAGGTTGGTTTTGCTTGACTTGAGCCATAACTTCATCAATGGGCCAATCCCTGAGACTCTCTCAGATTTGGAGCAGCTACAGTATTTAAATTTTGATTACAATCCCATAAATTCATTGATTCCCTTATTTGTGGGGTCCCTCAAGAAGCTTACATCAATCAGCTTCTCAGGATGTGGGTTAATAGGCCCAATGCTCAACTCCTTGTCTTCATTGAAGAATCTCACTGCTCTTTCTCTAGACAACAACAGTCTCACGGGGACAATTCCTCCAAATTTAGGATCACTTCCAAATCTAGACGAGCTTAACTTGAGTCACAACAAGCTAAGTGGGGAGCTACTCCTCTCAGAGATGTTTATTAAGAGGCTTGGAAATAGGCTGGATGTTAGAGGAAATAGTGGGCTATGCACAAGCTACAAACTATTCAGGAGGAACATCTCCACGTATCTACAAATCCCGGTTTGTTTGGGCACAGAAGGAATAGTTGACAACGTAACTTGTCCTAAAGAACAGCCGGGTGATTTCAAGCCAAGGATCCACAGTTCACGTGCTCCTGCCCAAGATCCACAGTTCATTTCATCATGTTTTGTTCTTTTTCACATGCTTTCCCTTTTGTAAACATTTCTACTATATCCTGTCAACTTTTATGTTGTCTAATGAAAATTAAAGTAAGCCTAATTTAAACTGAACAGGTAAATGAAAAAACTATATATATGATGTTTGGTATTGCCATTGATGGGTCATTTTCTTATCGAAAAGATGCACAGCCTAAGGGTACGAAGTTCGTGAAAATAAGCAGAGGAGCATTTACATCCGTACTTGAGGTGAATTTACATGATAAGGGGCCACAAATTTTGCGTCTGGCCCTGATTTCTTGTTCATCTGTAGCAGCCTTTCAGAAAGAGAAGCAAAAGTGTGTCGGATCAGATGTTTATTTGAACTGCATTTTAGGCTTTTGACATGGAAAAAAGATATGGATCTCTGTACTCGGATCTTTGTAAGAGAAAGAGAGTTGGAGTAGAAATGTCTCAGGATTATTTAGTAGCACTGGAAAAGGCTAAATTTTAGCTTCATTGTTCTTCTCATCTTCTGGATTCCAACGGACCACAATCACTGTTTGTCTTTGTGGGGGTCGGTTGCCACGTTTTAACGCTTCAGCCTCTCTCTTCTCGTAGCGCTATGGTCTTCGGCCTGGCACTCTGGGCCTATGGAACTGAAAAGAAAATATGGAATCTCCCCTTTTTTTTTTCAAATTATTTATTTAAAAAAATGATTGGATTTGGGTATATTATAAGAGGTCCAACCCAATCGAAAATGGAAAGGGTCCAATTTCAATTGCTTAGACCTTAGAAGAGATAGTCAGCTCTCATGTCACAATTGGGATAATTTATTCAAAATTATTCCAATTTAACGAGCTAAGTTTCAATTTTTTTTTAAATCATATATATATATAAATTGCATTATCAAATAATCAAGTTTTGATAATTGAAATTTATATCTACAACACGTTTTCAGACCAAGGGATTAAAAATCTATTTGAAAAAGATCTTTCTAACAATCATAAAGGCTTTATTAGGATGGATAAAAAAAAATAAAAAAATAGAAAATTGAAAGATTACTAAAGTGGAAAGTTAGAAAATATATATATTTTTTATTTGTGTGCTTGATAGAAAGATAAAAAAAAAGTTTTAAAAAGTTTTTCATCTATGGTAGAGGTGAAAAATAAAAGAAAAAAATTATATGATTTTATCAATATATTCTTTTTTAAATTAAGATGAAAAAAAAATCTAAACGTGATAGATAATTTTATAAAAATACAATATATATTCACATCTCTCTTATTTTCTTTTTTTTTTTTAAATTTGTTATTTAAAATGATTTATATTCGTAAATAAATATGAAAACAATAATTTTTTCTATTAAACACATTCTTTTTTTAATTTTTTTTATCATTTCCTATCCAATTTCCATTATTTAACCTTTTCATTATACCAAGTACACTCATAATCTAGTAATAAAATATAATATTTTTTATTTAATTATTAGAATTCAATTGCTGATAAGAGACGGCCGGCTAACACTAATTTTTAATTTAAATTCTCACAAGAATTCAATTCTTATTAGAATTCAATTCTTGATAAAAGAAGACTAACAGGCTTCTCAATAAAAGACTAACAATCAACTTACCATCAACCTACAGGGTTTCTGTCAGCCCACAGGATTGGAATAATAACATAATATTGAAAATTAGACACTTGTTAAACTTAGTTTTGAATGTAATTTACTGTTATCATTAGTGGCACGAATCTTAATCCGAGCCTGAAGAAGATATAATATAAGAAGACAACAGCCATTTTGTTTTTTTTTATTTTATTGTTAACAGTAAAATGGGAGCTCTCAAAGAGCATATATTCTCTAAGGGAATCATTTCTCTCTTTGGCTTTGATTTGACGTTTAAATTTCAGCAAAGGCTGCATGAAACACATAAACGCAGCCCGCAACAGAGAAAATTTTGTATATAAATCAAAGAGTTAGTAAAATAAAGAAAATTATCCTTTATTCTTTAATTTATTAATTTAATTAAGATTTAAATTAAATAAAAATTATTTTATTTATTGTTATTAAAATTTTTAAACTTTACCAATCGAAATTAATAAAATAACAAATATTTTTTAAAATATATTAAAAAATTATATATATAAAAAAAACTCTTTCAACTTACAAAAATAATCCAAATTTTAATTCAATTTTAGTTCTTAAGTGGGTCATGTACGCAATTTATTTTAGTTCTTAAGTAAGTCATGCACGCAATTTTAGTTCTTAAATCATGCAGTTACGTGTCAAAATTTTAAAAGAATTTAATAAATAAATAAAATTAACATAATACTTTTAATTTTATTTTGGATAAGATCAACCATTAATTTAAAATTGATTGATTGAAATTAATATAAAGTTTTATCTAAATTATATTTACATATTTAAACTTTTTTATGTGAAAAATTTGTTCAATAGCTCCATTTATTTATGACATTCAGATACCATTTTTGATGAATTTATTAGTGAGTTCGCCAAGCTTAAAATCATATTAATATATATTTTTTATTTTAAAATAGAACAAATCATTAACTCTTAATGGGTCAATTGGAATTAAATTAATTGCTATATCTTCCTTGAATTTTGTAAGGTTTGGACGATTCTTGTCACACATCAGATTGTTACTTCAAAAGACCACACGCATCAGATGCCCGTGAGGAACACCAATCTAAAAGATGAAAGCGAGTGGTCCCAGTCGCGCTATTTCAAGTGTTGACAACAAACGAGTGTGATGTCAAAGGTTTGCTTGCCACTTTGTTTGGAGTTTATAAGGGAGTGGGTCCCATCTACACGTAACTTACACTCAGGTATGAGTGAAATACCAGAAACTTCACACTTGGATTTTGATGATAATTTTTTTTTATTTAATTTCGTTAATAATTAATCATATTCATTATAGACACATTTGATTACCTAAATCTAAATTAATGTAGTTTTATCGAAATAACTTAAAAAAGATGTTCAATTTAAAATCAAAATCTTGGTTTTAGAAGTGATAATTTAGACTTAAATTGGAAGTGATTGTTTTTAACATGTACAACACACTTGCTTACATTGATATAATGCAATCAAAATTTTTTTTTTTAAAAAAATAAATCTTAATTGATAAAAAATAAAAAAATCCAGTGATTTTAATATGCATTAAGTTCAAATTAAAATTTAAGAAAAACTAACATAAAATGTAGTTAATTATGGTTAATTGTTTGTCAAAATATGTTGACGGTACAAATTCAATCTAAAAAATGAAGAACAAAAACATATGTAGAAGGCCGAGAAGATCATCCTTATCATTATTTGTTTATTAAAGATGTGATGTTTCAATGTGAGTAGCCAAACCCAAAAAGAATTCCACAACGTTAAAATGATGGCGCTATATAAAAATATGATGATGAGGTAATGAGCGTTATAATCGACAAAACCTCTCCAAACAAAGTCTGACATTTCCATGACACAGATTTGGCTTCAAATGCCCGCCTGCCTTGGAAAACCAATCCGTGTAATTTTCTCTCCATCAATTCTAATCTCTAACCTTTCATTTTCCTGCTTTTGTCTTCACTTCCTTTTCTTTAATATTTCCTCTCCAATCCATCCATGCTATATTAGTTGTTTGTTTGCATTACTTCTCTCCACTTATTCACTTTAGCTTTTCCCATCTCTCTTTCTATTGGTGGTGGTGGCCAAGGTCTGTTCTTTTCTCTTCATTATTGTTCTTTGCTATTATATCTGATCATGTTCATAGTTTTGTTCCGAAAATTTAGCTTATGTCATCATCTTTGTATATGTAATTATGGGTTTGAACTGATTTCGGGTTTTGGTTAAATAATGATTGAAAGAAAGTAAATTGACAACCTTTTTTTTCAACTTTCTTGAAGTTGATTTTATCAGAACATTCAATTTTCATTTAACTTCCAAAATTAATCCAGAGCTGTAATATTTCAACCATGAGTTTTAGTAAATAAAGTATGATTTTTTTCATTATAATCTTTATGGCGGAGTTTTATTCAACAGAACCTTTTAGTGGATTTCAAACTTTGATCACTGCTCACTGGAAAGTTGGAGAATAATGGAAAACATCACTTTTTTTAAAAAAAAAAAAAAAAGGCTGCAGCCTAAATAATAGGAAAGGAATGGCATGTGCTGAGATTTACACTTAAGATCTGGAGGCCACTTGGTAGCTGCATGAATCAATTGAGTTAAATGGTTAAAATCTTTCTTGTAATTGCTAAACATGACTTTTAAATGGGCTTGCAAGGGATTTTTGGCCTCAAGTCATTTATTTTCTATACTTCTGCTATTGATTTAAGTATTACTTACTCTAGAGATTTCCTTTGATTCTGCTATGCTGGTTACTCTCCTATTCGAGTCTTATTTACCTAAAAAATTGTTGTTTCTGTAAGCTCTTTATAGTCATCTTATATGTAAGTCTACCTTTATTTTAACTCTCTTATCATGTGACGAACTGTGAATGAAAGCAATCTGATACAATTTTTTTTCCTGGAATTCAGATTACATTGGGACAACTCAAAGTATCTGTAAAAAAGATGGAGATAACTAATGTTTCTGAATATGAGGCCATTGCAAAGGAGAAATTACCCAAGATGGTTTATGACTACTATGCATCAGGTGCAGAGGACCAGTGGACTCTTAAGGAGAATCGAAATGCATTTTCTAGGATTTTGTAAGTTCAGTTAATTTACAAGTTAATAGTTTTCTTATTGTGCACTTGCATTAATGAGGTTTGTTTTAGTCTTAAGAAAATGTACCATACTTCAATTTTTCTGGCAATCTTTTCTCTGTGGGTTGAATTTGATAGTCTATATTTTCATTTAATGATGCTCATTTATTTCATGGAAAATAGGTTTCGACCCCGTATTCTTATTGATGTTAGCAAGATTGACATGACCACAACTGTCTTGGGGTTCAAGATTTCAATGCCTATAATGATTGCTCCAAGTGCTATGCAGAAAATGGCTCACCCTGAAGGTATATGCACCTGAGTAAAAAAAATTTTGGTTTGTGTTGACCCTGTGATGAGATTGTTTGAGCAATTAATTTCCACACATCAGATTGAGCACATTCATCTTTTGTTGATGCATATGCTTAGACATACACGACGGTTGGCATTGCAGCAAAAGCAAATGTATCTATGTCTCAATGTTAACGTGTGTTTCTTTATGCAGGAGAAAACGCAACAGCTAGAGCAGCTTCAGCTGCAGGAACAATTATGGTTTGCTTCTAACTGTTCCTTTCATCTTGACTTTAAAACTGAATTTATATCTTCTGATGTTGTTAATGTTCGTGGCTTGCATTTGGCATGCAGCAGAATCCTGTTTTGTTCTGCAAAATCGATATTTACTGCCTTTTGTTTATTTTTTTCCCCTCAGATACTATCCTCGTGGGCTACTTCCAGTGTTGAGGAGGTTGCTTCAACAGGACCTGGCATTCGCTTTTTCCAACTCTATGTGAGTTTGAGATATCTTCTTTACACTTAGACAATTTGTCTTCATTGTAATATAATTGTCTGATAGTTTATATAATCTAGAACCAGGCTTTACATTTTACGACCTTTTGCACAATGAACAGCAGATCACTAAAGTTGCAAATTATTTTTGAACTATGCTGGATGCACATGTTTCCAGGATACTGAAAATTTGATCTTTTAAAGTTTTTATTTCATTTTATATCATTGTATATCAGTCATTACTGCATATTGTGCAGGTACACAAAGACAGGAATGTGGTTGCACAGCTTGTGAGAAGAGCCGAAAGGGCTGGTTTCAAGGCAATTGCCCTTACAGTGGATACTCCAAGGCTTGGCCGCAGGGAAGCTGATATCAAGAATAGGTGAGCATCAAATGCTAGCATAATTTTGGAAAGGGGTGAAAAGAAAAAAAAGGTAGGGAGGATATAGTTTTGGCTGCATTGTTTCACCATGCAAAGAATATGACAATTTTGCCGCTTGGTTTTATATTGATTTTGTTCTCTGCGACATTAGGTACTTTGAACAGATAAAGAATAAGGTTGCAAAATATCAAAACAATTCTATTCTAATATTTTCGGAAAAGGACTTATTTCTTCCATGAACTCACTTGCAGATTTACTTTGCCCCCATTTTTGACTTTGAAGAACTTTGAGGGTTTGGACCTTGGCAAAATGGATAAGGTAAGTGATATATGTCTGATCAATCTTAATTTTAATTATCGATTTACTTTACCTGTTTGTTCACCTAATGATGGGATTATCTTGCAGACCGATGACTCTGGATTAGCTTCATATGTTGCTGGCCAAGTTGATCGATCACTTAGCTGGAAAGTAAGATGCCTCTTTTTCTTTATATTTCACGTTTGTTGAAATGTAACATAGAAACATTTTTCTGAAATTTTCTTTCTGGCCAATGAAACAGGATGTAAAGTGGCTTCAGACAATCACATCTTTGCCTATTCTAGTTAAGGGTGTCCTTACCGCTGAGGATAGTAAGAAATTGACCCTAAAGAAACAACCAACTCAAAACAACTTCCTCTTTTCATTTTTCTCATGAAACTCTACTTTATAATGTTAATAATGCAGCAAGGCTAGCTGTACAAGCTGGAGCTGCCGGAATCATTGTGTCCAATCATGGAGCTCGACAACTTGATTATGTACCTGCAACTATTATGGCTTTGGAAGAGGTACATTTTCCCCTTTTGAAATCATTAAGGTCATCAAATCAATGTTTTAAGACGTTTAGTTTTCTAGTTGAATTTATCTCAACTTTTTCTGAAAGTTTTTGTGTCCAATGCCAACGACCATATCATATTCTGCATAATTTTTATCTCCTTTGATCCTTTCCCAAGTGTTTCTAACTTGTTATTTCTGCACGAGTGCCCAAGCAATCTTGAAATGTTTCTTACATTTGTGGTTCGAATTTAATAATTTCTCAAGCTAACATGCAGGTCGTTAAAGCTGCCCAAGGCAGAGTTCCTGTTTTTCTTGATGGAGGGGTTCGGCGTGGAACAGATGTCTTCAAAGCGTTGGCTCTGGGAGCATCCGGAATATTTGTAAGTATTTATACATTTTAGACATGATAAACATGGATCGAAATAACTCGTCCTTCCCTGCAGCATCTCCAGCACATATCTAGCAACCCCTTTAAGTTGGGTGCAGTTTTCTTCCACATAACTTGATGAACTTGTTCCAACCATCTCTGGGGATTTAGATTTCTAGATTTTATTCTGTAATATAATTTTCACAGTCTAGTCAAAGAATAATAAGAAGTACCAAATTTAAGCCCAGCAGACCACTGCTTAGCAAATGTTAACCTGTTAATCCTTTTTCAATCTGGAAAGCCTGTGATTTTCATTGGCATAAATCGATCCATTAATCATGTTTTAATTTCAGATTGGAAGGCCAGTAGTATTTTCATTGGCTGCTGAAGGCGAAGCCGGTGTCAGGAAAGTGCTTCAGATGCTACGCGATGAATTTGAGCTGACTATGGCATTGACTGGTTGCCGCTCACTAAAGGAGATCACCCGAAACCACATTGTAACCGATTGGGACCATCCTCGGGTTGTTCCCAGGTTGTAAGTTGGTGGTCTCTGTCAAATTGCCCGTTGCAAAGCAAAAGTTCTAAGAGCCTATCTTGTCTTTAGAATAACTTAATATTTTGAAGAATTGATCTTATGTAATGAGTAATGACAATAAAGGCATATACTGCTCTTTTTTTACCCTGCATGATCTGGTGACCAGGGTTCAGCTCACCCTTGCTGATGATGATATTAGATTAGTTGGCGGCCGCCTAATCCTGATCCAAATCTTAGAAAATGGGATTTGCTTAAAATTGTTGCCTCAGAGTAATATTACTCGGATGGCCACTCATCTTATGAAGCAAAAGATGGAAATAAATGCCACCATTGTTAATGAGCTACCATGTTGCTAAGACCTTGCGTGAATGTAAAATGAAATTACTGATCCAAGAGCTATGCTGTTCTGGTTAAGATCAAATTTAACACTTTGATACATGCCAGCCAATTGCTTTCAATAGTGACAACTGATCGACATTCAACAGATTTAACTACAAGCAGCATTCTTTGGAAATATCTATTCACAACATCTTTGATTCCCTCTTTTTTTTTTTTTTTTTTTTTTTTTAACTTGGTTCCGTCTGGTTTACCAAGTAATTTTTTCCTGTATTGAAAATTTTGCAATTATATGTATATTACTTTTATCTGCCTTCACATCGGATTTTGGTTCAAATAAACTTTGGCTGCTTTCAAAATAGTTAACCTTCTTATCTTGTGACTAGTTTATGGATAGAAACATCATAAAATCTTAAACGATCAACCTAGAAAAGTTATTAATTTTAATGGCCTTTACGATCAACATTAACCATTTGATAAAATAGACTATTATAATCAAGAAGCTCAATAGTAAATTCAGGTTTAAGACAGGTACGATTTTAAAAAGGTATGACCCCATTCATGATTTCATATACAACAAGATATAGCATAAAAAACCGAAAGTTGAAAAGGTACCCAGCATGTAGGACAACAAAAATGCCTCCCCCTTTGATTCTTGTTGAGCAAACACAGTCCCTAAATTTTAATTGACAACTCAATTAAATCACATACAACAAAAGTTTGAGTAATTAAGTATATAAACATTAAAATTAATAATAAATAAGCAATTAAAAATGTAAAATAGCATAAGAGTTGTTACCAATAATTATAACTTTTGGTTCAATCTAATTCCAAGTAAAGATTATAGATATGTCATCATACTAATAACAAAAAATTGGCTTCCAATCCAAATGATATTACTTCTCTATTGTTTTCAAAAAAGGAACTTAACAATCGTTAAACAAAAACAACTTTAATTAGATTTTCATTCATTGAATCGGATTGGAAGGCTTTCCTTGTCATTTCTTTTCAGGTTTTTATTCTCAGAATAGAATTTCTTCCATCCTACATTGATTCCTAACTATCTTTTGGGAGAGATTATCTAATACTCCTAGTAATTTATAATACATATGCATGTAATGTTCTTTTATTATTTTTCACTAACCATGGAATTAGTGAAAGTACAGCAATGCAAGTAAGGAATTTGTAGCTAGGCACGTGCATTTGACAATTAGGCCGAAAGCAAGCCCTCGTGGGCCAACAACTTGTTGAAATACATTGCTCATTTTTTCTGATAAAGAATGATGAATTCTCATCACCATCGTCTCAAATTTCAAAATGTTGTAATTTTTTGAAAAATTAGAATTGATATACCATATAAGAGCATTGCTCATTTTCCCATGTTGTAATTATCAATTGTCCAATGTATTAAACATTTGTTATGCCTGCGAATCAAATTGAAAATTGTACATGAATTATAACTAAAACAGACTCTGTATCAACAATTCTTGAAAGCTGGTTCTTACCTTCCACTACTTCCCTAAGTATTATCCTTATTCCAATAGGTTAGCTTTAAATTAAGTGTTTAGAATTTAAAATTACAGCTACCTATGGCACAATTGATAAAAGCTAGCAAACAAAATATTAAATGAATCACAAAGAACAACTAAATAAGATAAGAATTTCAACATAAAAAAAGAAAAAAAGAAAGAAAAGATATATCGTGTGCAATCAATCGAAAGTAAGTTTAGTGATAGTAGAATTTTCACACCTACACTGAATCCGTCGTCTCCCACAAAATTCAAAACAAAAGAAAAAGCTCAAAAAAAAAAATTTAAAAATTTTTGCAATGATAATATTTTAACAAAAATAATAAAGGAAATTTATTCCATAACAAAATTTTAAAGAATAAAAAATCAATAGAGAGAGAAAGAGATCCACGACTTGTGTCATGGTAGAGGTCGATAGTGAGAGATAAAGAAACAAATATTGAGGTTTGAGATGATGAAACGGTGGGGATCTAAAAGTCAGGGTCGAAACCCACCGTCGATCTTCATCTCCATCTCCCATCTCTCTACTCCATTCTCTTCATTTTGTTTCTTTGTTTTTTCTGAACCCTTCTTAAGTTTCTCTCAATATCTAAACATGAAACTTCTTGCTTCAAGCTTTTGGAGAAGTTTCTGGAGCAACTTTCTTCAGTTTTTAAGTAGGATATCCTTTATATAATATTTTTTTAAAATTATTCCTTAATTTTTTTTTGGACATTGCTAACTTGTCTTTTGCAATACTTCGGGTAAAACTGCTCCCTAAACTTTTTTTGAAACTCTGCCCAAATTTCAATCTTGGTGCTCCCGTGCCTCACATCATCACATCTGTGCTTCCACCACAATAAAGCCACATCAGTAGATACATAGCAGCGATACTTACCTTGATCACCTCATCTTGCATACCCATGACCTGGAAGTACTGCGCCATACCTCATAGGTAGAGTTGTCTACCTCGTTGGCTGCCCTAGTCCCCTTAAACTCTTTAGGCTTGGGGACATCCATCTTAGACTTAGACGTTCCAGCAAACATGACATTCCCAATAACAGTCTCGCATGCAACGAGTTCGTTGGTGAGCTCCTTCATCCTCTTGCGCATGGCCTTCATGCCATCGCGCATGGTCTCTATTTCAGCCTCCAAGGCTTCGTTCCTTTGGGTGATCACGTCCATACCTTTATTGAGAGCAGCTTGTAGCTCACCTTGAAGCTCTTCCCTTATGGAGTCTAGCGCTTCAACGTGAGTCTCCACTTCATCAAGCTTCTTTCTCATGTCGCCCACGGTCACTTCTATCTTGGCCAGCCTCACATCCATGGTAGACCAAATATCTCTCGAACTGACCTTCTTGTCTCTTCCATACCTCTGCTCTTAGGCTTTTGGTTGTTGGCTAGCAACGTCACTCTGGGATGCCATCTCATCGACTGTGATCTAACTTACATAATACAAACATGCAACACGCCCATGACCTGAAAGTACTACTCCATACCCTATAGGTAGTTGTCTACTTCTTTGGCTCCCTTAGTCCCCTTAAACTCTTTAGGCTTGGAAACATCCATCCTGGACTTAGACGTTCCAACAAACATGCTATTCCCAATAATAGTCTTGCATGCAATGAGCTCCATGGTGAGCTTCTTTATCCTCTTGTGCATGATCTCCATGCCATCGTGCATGGTCTCCACTTTAGCCTCCAAAGCCTCGTTCCTTTGGGTGATCTTATCCATGCTTTTATTGAGAGCAGCTTGTAGCTCACCTTGGAGCTCTTCCCTTATGAAGTCTAGTGCTTCAACGTGAGTCTTCACTTCATCAAGCTTTTCCCTCATGTCGTTCACGATCACCTCTATCTTGGCCAGCCTCTCATCCATGGTAGACCAAATATCTCTCGAACTGACCTTCTTGCCTCTTCCACACCCCTGCTCTTGGGCCTTTGTTTGTTGGCTAGCAACATCACTCTGGGATGTTATCTCTTCGACTGTGATCTAACTTACATAATACAAACACGTAACACGCCCATGACCTGGAAGTACTGCTCCATACCCCATAGGTAGTTGTCTACTTCCTTGGCCACCTTAGTCCCCTTGAACTCTTTAGGCTTGGGCATATCCATCCTGGACTTAGACACTTCAACAAACATGCCATTCCCAATGACAGTCTTACATACAACGAATTCCCTGGTGAACTTCTTTATCCTCTTGTGCATGACCTCCATGCCATCGCGCATGGTCTCCACTTTAGCCTCCAAGGCCTCGTTCCTTTGGGTGATCGCGTCCATGTCTTTATTGAGAGTAGCTTGTAGCTCACCTTGGAGCTCCTCCCTTATGGAGTCTAGTGCTTCAACGTGAGTCTTCACTTTATCAAGATTCTCCCTCATGTCGCTTACGGTCACCTCTATCTTGGCCAACCTCTCATCTATAGTAGACCAAATATCTCTCGAATTGGCCTTCTTGCCTCTTCCATACTCCTACTATTAGGCCTTTGGTTGTTGGCTAGCAACGTCACTCTGGAATGCCATCTCCTCAACTATGATCTAACTTACACAATACAAACACACAACACGCAGAACCGAAACTACTCTGATACCAACTGTCACGAGCTCTGACCTCACACTCAGAATTCGTACAATCTTAGGCTTGAAATCACCTTTTTCTAGCCTAAGTCAATCTAAAACACAAATGTGTGGCACTTGAACAATAGGAAGGGTAGAATGCGTAAGTTTGAGAGAAACAAAAAAACAAAAGAATTGCTGAAAATATGCTCTGTATTACTAAAACAGAAATATGTATGATGATGTACAAATGAGGGTGGAGCAGCCTTCTATTTATAATTGAGACTCTCAACTACACTTATGGCTAAATCCCTAGAATCAAGGCTAAAATCAAAGAATTACAAAGATTACAATTAATCAGGGTTCTATCTCTTGAATTATAGGATCAATCAGATCTGCCAAAAGGCTCCTACTAATCTTGTGAGCTTCTAGAAGATCCCTTTGTGTATCTCCTCTCTTGGGCCCTTCTGGATGTGGTGCGGGCATCATGCAAGCCAGGCCTTGGGCGTGCGGGCTGGCCTACAAGTTGTGCGGGTGTTCTGACTTTCTCTCTAAGGCCTTGCTTGCAAATTCTAGTCAATGCTCTTAGTACATGGGCTCAACCTCGGGTGTGTGTGCTAATGTGCCTGATGTGCCTGGCGCGCCATTGCTAACCTGTCTTTTGCAGATCATAATAAAAATAACTTTTATTGTAGTTATAGATTTGATACTGTTTCATCCAATTCTTTCAAGATCAAATATTTATAAATGAAAAATTATCAGATTCAAATAAAAAATTATTTATTCATATAAAAAATTTAAATGATATAAAATAATATTAGATATATGAATTCGTATTAAAATTTTATACCCATTTACATATGTAGAATTTTATACTTGTAGAAGACCATTCCTGTTCTCTATGTAGTGAGGTTAATTATTGAGAGTACAAGATTGTACGATAAATCTTTTAATAAAATTTTAGATAAAATTTATAAATTCATAAATTTTTTTAAAATATATAAATTTGTAAATTATAATTATCTGTTACATAATTAATGTATCAAATTTGAAAAAATTAATATTTAAATATATATAATATTTTTTAATATTGATAAAATTTTATCGTTAAAATATTGATCAAATTTAAAATTTAAACAACTTTTTTATTTTTTTTTTCATTTTAATTGATTCATTAAAACTTTCATAATCTATCATTTAATTTTTATTTGATCATTTTTTAAAAAAAATTTACAAATTTCACCTAAAGAATTTTATATAAAATTTTTCCAACCGGTTGTAAGGTTCTCATAAAGATTATTTTGTTCTCGTTGCCTTTGAATGGTTTGCTGAGGTTTAATCTTGATAGATAAACTTTATGGCAAAAGGTTCAAATCGGTCATCGGTGTTATGTACCATTTTTTCTTATGATCCGATTAAACCACGGTTAGTTCAACAATTTCCTGAGTGAAATTAAGGAAGAAAATGGGATCAATTTGAGGATGTTGATTTGATACTGTAGTTATTATTACCGAACCAAATTTTCGACCACATAAAGCTTTAATAATTGACAATAGCTTGATGTGATGGGTACCAAACCGTAGCCTAATTACAAAACTGTCATGAATCAGATTCATCGTTATAAATATCGCATCACTACGCATTTAGCACAGATAATCAGATCATATACAAATTAAACATTTATAACGTTTTTCCTCTACAAATTAATAATCACCATCTTTTGATCTCTACTTGCAGAATTCAACCTGAATTTGATGAAGGATGACAACTTTCTCATCACGTCAGAGTCTGCGTTTTATGACTTAATTCCTTCACGTGCAGATGCAGAAACATTTTTTGAACGTTTTTGTTATTCATAATCATCTTTTAGATTCTATGTGTAATAATTAAGATGGCTTAGTACTTTTAGGACAATTGTGAGAGTATTTGTCAAAGCTTAATTATGAGAGTATTTGATTTTTGCACATCCTAAACATAAAAAAATGAAATATAGTGATAATCATAATTAGATACGTTAATCGAATAAATCTATAAAATTAATCTTCTTGTTTGTTTAATAATTAGAATTAAGACAATCTGATGTGTCAACAATCAATAAATCTGTAAATCTTGTGTCATTCTCGCCATTTTGTTAGCTTTTTCTTTCCCCTCTGGTTGGCATAAAGTTTTGACCAACGCAATTAAAGTTTTCTGAGTTCAAGAAAGAACTTCACAAGCATCGTTTGTGCATTGGTTGTAAATGATGGAAATGAAAGAATATCAGAAGAAGCATGCAATCAATCAACAAATTAATGTAAAATTCATGGTCTTCAATCTACTAGCATATTTCACGCATAAATGTACAGAAACAAGTAAGAAAAGACAAAAAAAAAAAAAAAGGCCTCCCATGTATATGATGCGGGGGGAATATCATTTCATTCCACTAAATTGCAAGGATTGATGATGATACATAATTATATGTTAATGGTAATTAGGAGATGTAGCTTAGATCTTCCGATTCTTTCGTTTTTGGAGGAACTGTTGAAGCGATCTCTTCATTGAAAGTGCAGTACTTGGGCTATGTAGCTGAGATTGTAACGTTGGTGAAGCCAGTTCCGATCCTGTCGGAGTTTTTATTTCTCCGCTGGCTAGCATTAGAATGGCTCTTGCCTGAGATTCCATGTACAAGTTTGTGGTTAATCATAATATAAATCATCTTAAAAGTATGTGGTGGTCCATAGCAAGTTAAATCATCATTTTTCATTAGTCAAGAACATCTCACGTCAACTTGATTTGTGGATGAAGTACTGAACACTTAATTTTAATTATTAAAATTTAATTTTTGAGAGTTTCAAATACAAAAAAAATCTTATTACATGAATTAATTGCACAAGTTTTTCTAAAAAAATTGGCTACCAAACTCAAAATGCATGAAATTGTTGTCACATTAAGTATTGCAGAAACATTACTACCACTGCTAAAAACCTTTATACCTTTCTTTTTCTTTTATTTATTTTTTCACCCAATTCTAACGCATGAAGAAAAGAATTAAACCCAAATTCTTGCCTGGAGCTCTGTAACATCACAAACACAAACTCTTCCATTGTAGAAAATTGTTAGCTGTTGCTGTTGGTTTTGTGGGCTTTCGATGCTCTCTTCCACTCTTCAATCCCATAAAAAAATCAATCACACGAAACATATGCATACACATATACACAAAAAAAAAAAAAAAAATTACTATTAGAAGGAAAATACATACATGTCGTGACGATCGACGGAATAAGGAGGGAGGCGAAGTTCCAAGTTGCAGTTTCGTCTCATGTTGATGAACAAAAAGACAAATGAAACACTCTTCTTTCAACAAATTATGCAAAGAGAAAAAAAAAAAAAAAAAGAGAGAGAGAGAGTGAGAGAAAATGGGGATGGTTTTGGAGAATTGAAGAAATGGGAGATTTCAAAGAGAATAAGAAATTGATAGTTTGGAGGGGAAAAGCACAAGAATAAAGGGTTACATATACAGATATTGGATTGTACTGTATTGGGCACAACGTTTTGAAAGCTACGCTAAACACGTAACGCACAGAAATGGGACACACACAAAAAGTAAAAATAAAATAAAAGATGTATCTGAAAAAACAAATCAATTTAAGCACATGGAACATGCAATTCCTTTTTTAATTTCTTTCTTCAATCTCAGGTATCACAAAAATCGCTTTCTTTTTAAGATTCATTTAAATGAGTGGTGAAATTAATTTTTGATAAATTAATAATAATGGTGAAAATTATTATAATTATGATTAAAAAAATTATATTGAATCTGAAAATTTAAACAAAAAATTGGTATTACTTTTGATCAAATACACCTCACTAATTTCTCATTTAAATTTTACTGATAATTTTTAAAACTTAATTATACTTAGGTGCAGTTGCATCCAAATCTCTTCCTTAATGAATAGAAAATTTAATTAATATATTAGCTCAAGTCATAAGGAATTTAATAAATTGGGCGTTGACCTTTCAATAGAAAATATAAAAGCAATTAGGTCGAGTTGAGTTTATTTTAAGATACGAGTATTATTAAATTTATATAGACAAGTATATTATTTATACTAATATATTCAACAAAAAGGACTTGTAAAAATAACATAAAGTCACTTGTAACGTATTCTTGCATGTCAATTAGAGATTCTTTTTCAATTTCCCTTAAGTTTTGACTTTTAACATTAAAAAAAAAAAAGTTTTGAGGTAGCGAAGCATATAATTCATATAAAGTGCCTTACATGATGAAAACTACTAGTAGTGGTACATGCCTCTTTTCCAAAAGAGAAAAAAAATTCATGACAATTACCATATCATCACAATCCCATGCTGCAGTCATGAGTAGATCATTATTTCTTCTTCTGTTTGGCATGCAAAACCAACATTGTTTGTAACAAAGCACAATAGGAGCAAGGTGAAGATAAAGTATTGACACCTTACATAAATGGAGAAAGAAAAGAAAGTATCACCCACAGTGCTCAAGACCATGGCCACTTAGCATCTCTCCACGCAAACAATCGTTCCCCAGGATTTCTTTCAGCCTCAATTCCTGAGTCACTTCCTAAAACCTGCATCAACTCATCTTTGTTCCATTGCACTCCTGGACAGCATTGCAGTTTTCTATCACGCTTCAAAGCTTCCTCCCTGTATGATGGATTAGCATACCTTGGGTGTTGAATGAATGGCACATTTTTCCACCACAGCTTTAGAGCCTGAAAACATGGTAATAAAGAATGAACCACTGATTTAAATTGCAAAGCATTTAGCAAATGCATTTCAGTCCAAGCTCTGGTAGAATGAGTTCACTGGGTGTACATTCCAAATGGCAACTGTAAAACCAATAGTCACTCAGCCGCTGGGACATATCCAAATAAAACAGAGTTAAGCTGCATAAGTAATAAACTAATCTTGAATTTCTAAGCACTTCTGCGCTTGTCATGGTGCTTGGTGCAAACATTAAAAGAAAACCTTATGTTAAAGGCACCAAAATGATACTAGTTCCCACTCAAGAAGCCAATTTACATAGCGTGTACTGTGGTATTGCAAATTAATGCTGACAAATCAACTTAGCACTCAGATGACATTTGGTATAAAAGTACAGGAAAGTTGCAGTGCAGTTGAAAGGCCTTGAGATAAGCACATACAGTTACACTTGAACAGCTTAGTTGATACAAGAAACATCATTAACCAGAATTCAAATAAACAACTGAATATGCTTGTGAGTAGCGAGTATGGTCCTCTTTCAAACTTGAAAGAAGCAACTTTCTCTCTTCGTACAAATATTTTCTTAAAAAATTAGTATAATTCGCCTTTTTTTCTTAAATTACCCAACCATTCTACTGAACTTTCACAAGGTAATCTAATACAATCAACTTCCTTTATTTCAGTTACTCGCTATCCATATTATACAGCCAACACCAAGGTTACAGGACAAAAGCAGGCAAACTGATACGCTAATTCTCTATTTCAATAATGTTTAATTAAAAGATTGCAAAATTTGCTATCAACATTATACAGCTAAACCAAGGTTACAGGTCAAAAGCAGGCAAACAGTTATGTTAATTCCATACTCAATGATGTTTTATTTAAAATTAAAATGAATCTGTAAGAATAAGAAACCAAACTACCCTGAAAAATTCACTGGATTGATTTAGAATATTAATAGGTCTCAAGGTAGATACTAGAAACAAAGAAAAATAGAAGTAGATAAAAGGACTGTATTTATGATGAAAAATCCTTTTCCATCAACATAATCACCTGAAGCAGTAGAGAATTAACAGAGATAAGTTCATAGGAAGATCAAGAGTCCAACCCATACCAAAATTCAGCACTTTTTAGTTCCACTTACATGCCAATATATCCACAGGGCAACCTTATGAGGCATCAACCAGAAAAATAGTGAATGATCATGCACCGATTCCATGGAGATTCTTTTAGCTTTCAAGGTGGCCAGAAAATAAACACCAAGCTCTGGGTGTTGGACAGAAATTGCAACTAGTAAATTTTCACCAGGAGGGTTTACTCTAAGGCTCCAATTTCCAAGCATATCCTGCACATTTTTTCGAAAGCTGCTTACATGGTTTGAAGAAAACACAATTCTTGATTAAAAAAAAAAAAAAGGATGAACAAACATTCTAAGAATGTTGCATGATAGAATCAGTGTCCAGATCAAATATCTAGAACATATAAATCAATTATAAGAACCTGGCATTAAAATTTCAAAGAGTAATTTGGCATCACTTATTTATAAATCCAATAATGAAATTAGCTAAGTTCATTGTGAGATGCAAAGCTTAGCAAACCCTACGCTGATAGATCTCTTTATTTTCACTTGTTGTAGTATTGTCAATAAAAACAAACACAGAACTTAGAAGCACACATGAGCATACCCATGTTTAATTTTCTTTTCAGCCAAGCCTAAGCTTGCTCTGTCAAGCTCGAATTTAACTTGCTCAGGGTAAACTGTGTTTATGTGGAGTGCAAACAACACAATGTTGGAGTTGACACCTCATTTGTATTTGTTTAAATAAATACCCAACACCACAAACAGAGGCAACTTCTGAGTTCTGAATGATATGTGAAAAATACTGTAAACTCATGAAAAGGTTGAAACTAGAATAACATACACACAAGAATGAAGAATTCACATGGGGACCTACCATGAAAGGGCTGACATGCAATGGTTTTGCCACTAAATCAGAACTTGGGTCGAAGACAAATGTTACTCTTTCGCCCCAAGGTGTATTTGTTACCTAAAACAATAAATCAACAGCAATGTCAGCAATCATCCTAGTAGAATTCGATATTACTAAGCATACAAAAGTCGAACTTTTCATATCCCTAAGCATACAAACCATTTTATAATGTAACTTCTAGTCAAATTTTGATGAGTTTTAGTACAAAGTTACGCTAGCTACTTTTAAATTTCACAAAAGTTTCCAATTTGGGGAAATTCAACATAGAAAATACAAACCTCAGCAATGCACTTCTTCAGAAGCTTAGTGCATCCCTCCAAATCATAGCAATAATATAAACTCAATGGATTTTGTTCATATCCCACGCTTGGAGGAATTGTTAGTAGAAAACTGTCACAATATTTCAACTCATTTCATTAACCCTTGAGAGAAGCAATTAGTTAAGAAGGGGGGGGGGTGTTCAGCAACTTACACCGGGCCGTCGGTTTTGGCAATCCTACGAGCCTCGTTGGCGGAGAGGTGGTCGGCTGGCGGGTGAAGAGCGTGATCAAGGTCGAAAAGAGCGTAGCGGACGGAGTACCGAAAAGAGTGGTGGACGGGGCGGCGACGCTCGTGCCATACGGTGCCTTCGTAGAGAGAAACGGCTTCGTTTTGGGCGGTGGAGAGTAGAGGAGGACGGCGGTAGCGCGTGAGGAGGAAGCGGATGGGAAGGAGGAGAGAGAAAGCAAGGGAAGTGAAAAATGTGGAGAGGATTGAGCATAAGAGATAGAAGATTTCCATTTTCCCGTTATCCGACAGCTGCACTTGATAGTTAAAGTTTTACTTCAGTTCGGATTGCAGGATGTGCCACGTCATCGCCCAGTTTTTATAAAATGCAAAACAATTAAAGGAATCTCCTTACGGATACTTAAAAAAACATTATTCTTGAAAAAAAAATTACTCCACAGAAATCAATTTTTTTGTACTTGCAATTTTAGCACACAATATAATAACATAATAAAAAATGAAGTTAATATTTAATGCAATGAAAATGTTTAATTGTTATATATTATTAATTAATTATACAATGATATTTTATTAATAAATAAAATAAAAAATAATTTTATTTTTTAAAAATAAGTATGAGTGAAATTATTATTAATTTATTAATTTCTATTTTTAAAAATTTAATTATTTTTATTTTATTCATAAAAAATATTATTATATGGTCAATTGATAATGTATAAGTATTATAAAATTAATTCAAAAAAATAAATAATATAAAATAATACAATTTAAATTTATAATAAAAATTTATTTAAATTTAATAAAAATATTTTATATTTAACATATCTATACACATAATAATTATTATATTTTATATATGCAAGACACAAAATTAGTATAACATGAAATACATATCAGAATTATCAAATTTATTTGTTTAATAGTTTTATTAAGCAAATCAATTTGAAGGCCAAAAAGTAAACAAACCGATTTATTTTTCTAATATAAAAAGAAAACAGTGATCCATTAATCATGAATCTTTGGACTTAGACGTTTTAAGCTCGGCAGCACCAGATAACTGCCCCCACGCATGAATCCAATTCCAACCACATTAACCAGCCACTGGTTAGGGTTGTTGGTTGGTCTTGGTGGGTCACCAATCGGACACAAAACCCCCAGTCGTTCGTTTATCTTACACCCTCACTTCCCTCCAATTAAACCTCCCCACCTAACGCTGATGAGGGTAGTTCCGTCATCCTACATGCCTTCTAGACACGTGTCTAGAATCCATTCGCTCATCCCCAAAACGTCACCGTTGAGAACTAAAACCCGAAGCAAAGGGTCGTCGATGAAAACAAAGCCCTTACGTACTTTTTGGCACTTCAAATAAATCGCCCAACATAAACAAAATAAAAATAAAAATTAGTAAAAAGACCCTCAAATTCTCCGCCCATTTTCTTTTCCTTGTATAAATTTCACTCTTCCTCCTAATTAACTCATTTGCAGTTCCATTTCTTTTAGTTTTCATTTCTTTTCGCGGGTGCAAATCCAATGGCTGCTATCTTCCAAGGAGCTGGAGCCGCTGCAGCTTTATCATCATCACCGTCCAACTCAATCGATTCCAAGAAATTCCTTTTCTCCCCTCGTAGACCCTACTCCGGTTCGCTACACTTGAATTTTTCTTCGATTTTCTGTTATTTTCCTTTCATTCCATTTTTTAAAGTTTCTTTTTTGGAATTTGATTTGATGCAGGGATGAAAGGAGCCAGCTTTGTAGTGGTCAGATCTGATGGAAGAGCGAGCTTGGATTTGAACCCTAAAGGTCGAAGGGCTCAACAATTGATTGCCAATGCAGTTGCTGTAATGATTTTCTTCTTCTTTCTCTTTACGTTTTGAAGTTTAATTTTTTATTTTGTGGTGTTACTAAATTTGATTGTATTTTGTTGATTCTGTTAGACCAAAGCTGGTAGCTCTGCAGCTTCATCATCTTCGAAACCAGGGTATGATTTTTATTTTTGATTCAAAGTTGAATTCCAAATTAGTGTTACGTTGTAGTCAATTGCTCAATCTTTATTAGATATTCTTTTTAAGGAAGAAAAAGCAACTAGTTAATTGTACCACTATCTAGCGAAAATTTGAAAGATGTCAATTTTAATACTATATTATTAGCATTGATAGGCTAAATTTTGTCAAACTTTGTTACGTAATGATGTTCCTTAAGAGGACAAAACTTCCATAGGTGAAGTTCGTGAAGTTATTTTTTAAAAGTGAGTAAATAAAAATTTTAATAAAAAATCTGAACTGATAGATTGATAGAGTTCAATGTGAATATCGATAATATGTAAAAAAATTGTTTATAATTCAAATTTGATCAATACTTATTCAACAGTAAAAAGTTTATCAATATTTTTACTAAAAATGTTTATTTAATAAATATATCAAAATTTATTAAATTTTTTTTAAATTTTACACACTTGATCTATGTGATGAGATCTTTCAAGCTATCGGTTTTTATTTTTTATTTTAGTTTTTATTTACTCATTTCTAATAAGGAACTTCACAAACTTCACCTATGGAATTTCATTTAAGTCTTTTCCCTCCTTCAGATACATCAAATTCTTTTTTCTCTTGTTGTTTTTGGAAATTTAATGTATTTTGGTTTTCTAATCAGATGTATCCGTTCATGTGTTCAATTTAAATATTGCTTTTATCTTGTTCAATCACATAATTTCTTGCTTGAGATGCATGCTTAACAAATTCTTTAACTTCATATTGTGGTGTAAGGTTCATGCATTTGATACCATTCACTTCTTTTTAAAATTGATGCAGTCTTTCACAAATGAATTTATTTGTCGGTGTCATTATGTTGTAGTTGGCTTAGGCTCCCTTTGATGTGTGGTGGAAGGGGATTCCCACCATGCTAGAGTGCCTAACGGTCCAGTGCCGTTTAGGCACTTCAATACTGTGACAATCCTCTCCCACCGCAAATACAAAGGGAGCCATAGGCTTTTGAAAAGCATTGTTCTTTTTCTGTTGCAATCCTGCAACTTCTAGTGCAATGATTGAGTCATCTCAGTCCTTGTATTGTCATCAACTGGATGCCATGGACATGTGTGTCAAATGTCGAATGAAAAAGGCATCACTTGAGTGTTGGGTGTATGTATTCATACATGCATGTATGTATATATGTCTCTGTTTTTGTGTGTTGAAATGGAGTTACGTTGCATAGTCAAATTTATGCATTCATACTTGTTCCCACTATCATGTATTTTGTTTCTTTTTTATTGACAAATGTTGGCAATGTCAGTATCACTTATCGGTGATATATTTAACTAGATCTATATTGCATCACCAGGCATGAGCTTTTACTTTTTGAAGCTCTACAAGAGGGCTTGGAAGAAGAAATGGAGAGGGATCCCTGTGTATGTGTCATGGGTGAAGATGTGGGTCACTATGGAGGCTCATACAAAGTGACCAAAGGACTGGCTACTAAGTTTGGGGACCTCAGGGTTCTTGACACCCCTATTGCTGAGAACTCCTTCACTGGCATGGGAATTGGAGCTGCTATGACTGGTTTGAGACCGGTTGTTGAGGGTATGAATATGGGTTTTCTCCTCCTTGCTTTTAATCAGATCTCCAACAACTGTGGTATGCTTCATTATACATCCGGTGGCCAGTTTACCATACCGATAGTCATTCGTGGACCTGGTGGTGTCGGACGTCAACTGGGGGCTGAGCACTCTCAACGTCTTGAGTCATATTTTCAGTCAATCCCTGGAATCCAAATGGTTGCATGCTCAACCCCTTACAATGCCAAGGGCTTAATGAAGGCTGCAATCAGAAGCGAGAACCCTGTTATACTTTTTGAGCATGTTTTGCTGTACAACCTCAAGGAGAGAATCCCAGATGAGGAATATATCTGCAATCTTGAGGAAGCTGAAATGGTAAGGCCTGGAGAACATGTCACTATTCTAACCTATTCAAGGATGAGGTATCATGTGATGCAGGCAGCAAAAACTTTGGTGAACAAGGGTTATGATCCTGAAGTAATTGATATTAGGTCTTTGAAACCATTTGATCTTTACACTATTGGGAACTCAGTTAAGAAGACACATCGTGTTCTTATTGTGGAGGAGTGCATGCGGACTGGTGGTATTGGTGCTAGCTTGACTGCTGCCATCACTGAGAATTTCCATGATTATTTGGATGCTCCAGTTATGTGCTTATCTTCACAGGATGTGCCTACACCATACGCTGGAACATTGGAGGAATGGACTGTTGTTCAGCCTGCCCAGATTGTGACAGCCGTTGAGCAGCTGTGCCAGTAGTAGCACAGATAGTGATGGCGTAGTTGAAGTTCTGTTAGTTTTGTTTCGTTTACTTTGAATCCGGTTTGTTTTTGATATCTAATTTCTGTTTGTTAGCAATTTTGTGTCAGTTAAAACTTGCTAATGTTCATTGAGTTGAGGCGTGTTGTTTGATCTGGTTCTTTCTTGATTGAAATGGCAAGATCTTAAGCAATAGTTACAGCTAGAATACTGGAAAGTAACTCTGTACGTCCAGTTACTCTGTCACATTACTAAACACTTGCAAGATAAAGATGTCTAATTCATTTCGTCTAATATTTTTTTCCAATGAATGTTATTGTTGTTTGGCAAAATAATCTCATTTCTTTTTATCTTTTTTATTGTCTTTAGATTTTCAGTGGTCTTCAGTTTTCATCGCTTTTATTTACGTCCAAATTTAATCACCTCGTAGCTGCTGTCTATTTTCTGCTTTTGCCCCAAGCTTACAGAGAACTTGGCTCAGCTGGAAGTGGAGGATTTAGCACACGGTAATAAATATACTACCAATTTGCATTCTGGCTTGGTACCATTGTTGCACACAAAGGTACTTTTTGATTCGCAATGGACGAAAACTAAATTCAGTGAAACCTAATCCGTTTGACAATTATCATTTCTTCTTGATCTTATATATTACATCAGGGTTAGTAAGTGGGTCAGTACTCAGTTGTTATGTTTGGCCCCGGGGAGGGAATCATGGAGACTGTAGATTGAGATGAATCTTCATGTGGATCGTTGGAATTTGACATATCAGATATTTTATAGTAGCTTCTATTGGCCCTTCGTAAGCCCATAATTACTTGAAAATGTTGAAAGCTTTGTGCCCTTTCTTTGGGATTCTTTTGTAGTATAAAGTATATATGGCTGCTATCATGCCATTTCCGTTGCCACAAAAGCTGTATGCATGTGGCTGAGGCAATGCATATAATAAGAGAATAACGTAGCAGGGCTTACCGGTGCACTTGATTTGACCTGACCTGACCTGACATGACTTGACCCTCCCTCAAGAAAATGACCCCCGGCCCCCCCAAAAAATGGTTATCTTTTTCTCGGGGTTTCCAAAGTGCCTAAAACATGCTTGACCACATGTCACATTCTATGGAGCTGACCCTGTGGCTGTATTAGGTTGGGGGAGCATTAAAGGGTTGTTATTACCTGTATTACTTTCCCCCTCAAAAAACATGTCCTGTATCTACCGTTCTCTCTCTCTCTCTCTCTCTCTCTCTCTCTCTCTCTCTCTCTCTCTCTCTATATATATATATATATATATATATTATATAAACCTTTCTTTATGTCGGATGTTCAAATACATGTAAATAATAGTGGGTATATTATTATATATAGACACAAATGGTTAAGAATGTGAATTATATCACTTTTTTTTGGTAAATATTTATTTTTTTATTACTTCTTAGTATAATCTAACTTTGTTTTCTATAAAAATATAGTAGTATAACTTTTGAGAATTGCAGATTTTGGTTCGGCCAGACCATTACTCCAAAGGGTCAAATCGCAATACAGACCAAATAACAACAGGCTTCACCCTTCAGTCTTTGTTATTTGCTACATTAAATTTATTCATTTTCTTCATTCTTTTATTTTATGCCTTAGTGTTCCTTCATGTGTTAGCTCATGTTTTGCACCTGCAAAACCCTCTTCCTGTCTTTGTCTCTCCATTTCTTGGTAGCCAAGTAGCTAGCTAGCTGGGCTCCAATTTACTTTGTTTTGCTGTGAGGTCTCCAAGTTACAAGGAATCTCGAGGTTTCTTATCTGTTTATATTAACATTTACATGTATACGTATCATTTTCTATTAACACATATAGACATATATAATTGTAAATTCTTCCCTAAATATCTTTTTCAACTAATTGTTGTCTCAGCAATCCAAAACAAAGTGAAAAAGCGAACAATTATCCAAACTCATTTTTAAAGGAAAAAAATGTTGTAGCAGTGAGAGTTTATGCAATGTTATCATCAAAGTAGGGGCTATAAGTTAGTTGGATGAAACTAGATATATATTAATATTTGACCGACCTCAAGCTTTGGTTTTCTTCTTTTTGTTAGTTTAAAACATGGATGGTGTTAATCTGTCAGTGCCCACCCACTACCTAAGAGAAGTTCTAGCTAAGATTAAGGTTTCTTTTTTCTAATTCTTTCACTTATCCTTAGAACTACTCAATGGAAAGTTGGTATATAAATTTATTCAATGGAAGTGGAGGGAGCAAGGGTGGCTACTTTTATCAAAGAGATGATGCATGTTTCTTTAGGAAGCACTGACTAGGAGAAGAGTTTGGTGATCAGTCTAAACAATGACAGTTTATATATATATATATATATAGAGAGAGAGAGAGAGGATAGAGAAGTGGGTGATCTTGTAATTTCTAAGTATATACCACAATTTATTTTTTATAATAGTAAAAGTTTTGCATTAATTATAATGTGAATGCCACATTTTTTATTATAATTGGGTGTTTGAGAATTCCCTTGAAAAAGATTTGATTAAATTATGCTATTATATACTCCAATAAAATAACTAATTAAGTGAAAACAATAGTATATTATATCTGGTAGTAGTAGAGTAGAAGTATGCATCATCCAATCCGTCATGGTGCACAAAATTTAGGGGAAGTTAGATGATGAAATCAACACATACAAAAAGATAACAGAAAAAAAGAAAAGAAAAACCTCTCCTTCGTATCTTCTCTTTCTCTTTTTTTCTCTGTAATCGTGTGATTTCCATTTTTTTTTTGGGGTACAAGAGATCTCTCGCAGGGTGACATGGGAAGCGGGAACGTGTACGCCGCTATGGTGGTGATGGTCGTGGGAAAAGACGAGGGATTTTTTAATGTTGCTGGGATTTCGGCCTTTTGTCAGGCTAGGTGAAGTAACACTGGCCAACCATTGATTTGGCGGGCATTGTCCCACTCACACCAGACCATTAACTTCCCTTCATGTTCTTTTACTTAAATAAATATTTTCTTAGCCTTTCCATTTTTTTTCTATTGTTTACATAAATGGATGCTCATGCAGTCATGCCCTTCTCTTCTAGCTCCACCTCTTGGTTCCTAGTGGTAACCTTTTCATCTCTTTGTTCTGGCTGGTTTTCTTAAGCCTTTGATGCCACTTGGAAATCAAGTGGACACCATGTGGTTCAAAGCAATTAGGGTTTTAATAAGGTTTACGCTTTGCTTGCTTGCCTGCTGCCATTGTAATTTCTTTTCTTTTAATTTGTAGTGGAATTTTGCTGCAATTAATTAAGTAGTCTGAGTTGGGGAAAAATAAATTTTGTCCTGCTTTATCTTTGACTGCATTTTTGTCTTGCTAAGTGACTGCCGATTATCGTACGAGTCGTGGTTCTGTGATTGGATGGAAAATTCTTCAAATGCGTAACGTCATTTCAAGAAACTGCCTTTTCCATGCAAATTGGAGACTCCGAAGCCAGCCTAAGCATTTTGCATGAAATGGTGAGAGGTAATTCTTGCACGGATTGTAGGAAGGAAAATTGCAGAAATGTTGGTGCAAAATTCAATTACCATAAGGATTTCGATGGTCGAAAATTAGAGATAGAAGAGCACGTAAGAGAAAGAAAAAGGTAATGACCAAAGTGTTGTTTAGTATCCCACTCGCTGTGTTCGATTTCTCAATGACAAGTCAGAAACCTAAACATGTAACTGTTATCCTTCGTACAACCAACATTTATAAAACTTATGGCCTTTTTAATTCTCCTTCAAATTATGAAATTTTACAAAATTTTTAAACGAAATAATAACAAAAAAAAAGAAAAACCCTAAACTATTGATAAAAACTCTCTGACGGATTTATTAACAAATTGATTAATTTTATCAATAAATAAATATTTAGGAAAAAAATTTAAAAGATGTTCAGACAAAAATTTTAATTTAAAATTTTTTGATTTTTTATATTTTGGATGCTATTGATACCCACACTCCACATATGGAATCCGCCGGTAACAAACCTTAAACCAGAAACACTACTTTCTAGTGTTAATAAATTAGAATAGAGAACTACCAAAAACATGATTATTATTATTCCGTAATTACCACATCCCAAGAGCCAAGAGCCAAGAGCCAAGAGCCAAGAGCCAAGACCCTAAAACCAAGTAGGTGACGAAGGAACAGTCACAATCGAGTGATATAAGGAGGCAAAAGCATTTTTTGGCTTTTGATTGCGTAATTACACTTTGGGATAGGGATCCTCTTTAAAAGAAGCAAACGCTTTTCAATTTTCATCCACTCTCCCCCCCTTTTTTTAAGTCCTTTTTCACTGTTTCTCAACCAAGCAAGCATTTGCCATGGTTAAGATGTTCGTAGTAATTTTAATTAAGAAGTAATCTTAAAATCATAATTGGATCTCTTTATCTTAAACTCTCAGATAGTTTTGTCTTTTGCTTTTCTTTTAAAGTTTTTAATCACTTCAAGTCTTCAACAGACCATGGAACCGTATCATGTGCTTTTTGACCCAGAAAGCTCTCCTATATTTGCAGATAAGAGGGAAAAAAGAGAGTCAAAATAATAGTAGATAGAAAAAGAAAACATGCACAAGCTTGAACCCAATAATAATAAGCCTTAACTAGAATGGGGGCAAACTCAAGTGTATACAGTAATTATATTTTAAATGTGTTAGACATCATCTCATAAAAATATTACATAAGCTACAAATTAAAAAAACTGTAAATATTTATTATCTATACAACGTAGAGGTGGAAACTTAACTAACACAGATGAAATTACATGAACGAAGGAAACGAAACCAGCTGAGCTCAAATTCTATAGCCACGTGCTAGAAAGCTACAAGTTGGTTCCTTGAAACCTATAACCAAGGGGGGGGGGGACCCTATATCTATCTAACCTAAGAAATAAATTTCCAGGAGCATTCGGGGAGTTGTACTCTGAACCATCCCGCTGGTAAAAATATCCCTGTACGATAAAACTTTTCCTTCTTTTTTTTTTTTTCATTTTTTGAACTTAATTTACGTCTAGTCAAGCTTGATTGACCAAGGCCTTAGCCTCTATAAACGTTCCATGAAAGCCGTATGGAACCCTGGAAGGTAATTTAATTGAGGCTTCGAGCTGTAAATTCATGGCGTTCACAATTTGAAGCTCTGATTTCCAAGTGTTCTCATCGTGAATAAAGGAAAGAATATAGCCATCATCTTCAGCTGATTCACAATGGACGTCTCCAGGCAAGAAAAATGGCTCCCCACCATATCTTCCATCACCGTAAATGTGTTTTTCTATCTTCCCAGTAAAAAGATCAACCTTGGCGAATCCTGACACTTTTGGCCATGGTTCAGCAATGGCTAGATAAGCGTACCGTGTCTTTCTTCCAAGCCGGTTCCTGTTCACCATCCCAGCTTCCAAGTTTACTTGCTCCGATTCTGAGATTATTGGGCGGCGCGTGGACTCACCTGTCTTCAAATTAAGCCGAATTTCGGACAATACACTCTTTAAACTCTCGTCGCATTCGTTGAAAATAGAGTCTGGAGGTGTCATGCAAGAACCAATCACCACAACTTCATCCGATTCCGGCTCCTCCCAAGCGTTCCATAGATGAAAACAGAAAGTATCAGGCGATTCAACCCATATGATATCCTTAGAATCACTTGCATTTTTAGAAAGAATCCCAAACCGTGACTTCTTGTTCTTGTCATAAATCAAGGGAGACCCACCGGTAATCATTTCTTGTAGCTTGAACACCACTTGCTGATCAGGGATCACCACGAAATTCTCAGTGATGGCAAAATCATGCGTCATAGTTGGCACGGATAGAGGAATCTCAACATCAGGCGATTTTCTACCGTCAGGTAAAAACCTGAAGTACTTCAAGTAAGGCTTTTGGACAACATCGTAACTCAAAGCAAAGAGTTCCTTGGAAAAAGGATCAATTTTGGGATGTGCAATCATTGTGGATTTAAGTTGACCATCAAAGTTGTATCTTCCAACTGTTTCCAAATCACCTGAGGAAGTGATGCGTACTTGGTAAGGAAGATCATCTTCGGACATAGCTAGAAGTCGGTTATTGAAATAGACTAAGCCAGCGTTAGCTATTCCAGTGCCTTGTTTGTGATCAACAAGGCCAAAAAGCCCTCTCGCATAAAAAAGTAAAAGCCTGGCAATCCCTGAGTGGCCATGTAGTTCACCAATTGCTTTAGGGAAAACGGGGCGGCCCAATTCTTTTTCTTGTAAAAGTCTTTGCGTCTCTGTAAAACGACAAGCGTAGCTGGCGTTGCCATTATCAATGGAAACGGCATGTACCATGCCGTCACCATCAAAAAAGTGGTGACCTGCAACTGGCTCAAATAAAGGGTTAGCGCCGTTGCGGAGATAAACGCCGTTGATGCAAGAAGGGATGGTGCCGATGATGGGAAGAGATTGCTTGACAGGTTGTTCAGGGACGGGGGCGAAGTTTCCGGAGATTTGCACACGTGGGTCAGCGGTTTTAGGAAGTGGGTGTTGATGCTCGCGTGACACCAACACGTTTTCAGCCATGTCAAGGGCCATGGCTGCAGCTCTTTGGAGGAGATTCCACTGTGGCAGGTGGTGGGTTTTGGGTTTTTCATTTACGGAGGCGTCTTCTCTGGGGATTATGGGGTTTTGGTATGGTTGTTTTGGGAAATGGAGAAGCGAAGGTGAGTGAAAAGCTGATGAGTGAATAATGTTGTTGATTGTTTTGTTGAGCTGCGGTTTCTTCCTGGAGATGGATGTTGGAAAGCAGCCAAAATCTGCCGTTGAGGAGGAGGAGGAAAGAGGCTGGGAAATCTGGGCTTTGGCCCAAGCAGCTGTGGAAGAAGCCATAGCTTTTAAAGGGAAGATGTGTTTTTCTGGTTTTCGGAATGCTAAAACAGAGGGTAAGAGAGAGTGCTTTCCGCTTGTTCCCTTGGAAAAGAAAGCATATAGGATAGAAGAGAAACAAGATGGAAGATGGAGTGAGCTTTGCGGAAAACGGAAGAAAAAATGGAGGTATAAATAGAGGGGAAAGGATTCAACGAAATTTTTTAGTTGAAATTCGTAAAATGTTTTATTAAAAATGATTAAATAAAAATTGATAAATTAAAAAATTAAAAAGTTTCATTATATAAATTGTATAAAATTTTAAAAAATATAATAAATTTTGATATATATTTTTAGATAAATATTTTTAATAAAAATATTAATAAAATTTTTATTGTTAAATAAATATAGATAAATTTGAATTATAAATAATATTTTTAATAAATTTTTATATATTATTAAGATTCACATCTAACTCTATTAATTTATTAATTTAAATTTTTTTATTAAAATTTTTGTTAAATTAGCTTTCTAATTATAAATTACATTAAAAAAATTTCTTTTTGTAAATTTTGTCCATAAATAGAGATGGGTTAAACAAAATGGGAATTGTTTGAATGGGAGGTCCAACCTCGGACATGTAAGGGAAGACCACGTGGTTGATTTGGGCAATGCGCACTTGGTTCTAGAAAACACATCAACCTGTGGGGTCAACCCAAAAACATTTGCTTCACAGAGTGTATAGGCTTTGAGCTATAATTGGAAGGCAGAGGCTCCCAAAATTAGGAACCAATGACAGTGACATTTAGAGTCAGAGACAAACTTATTCCCACAGAAAGGTAAAGAGTGAAAAATCAAATCAGTCTACCGTTGAAACATTAGGGAAAGAGTTAAAAAAAGGACAAATATTTTATGTCAAGTTCATAAAATTTTTTATTAAAATAAGTAAATAAAATTAAAATTAAAAATTTAAATTGATAAATTTATAGATTTAATTACATAAATTAAATATATAAAATTAAAAATTTTAATAAAATTTAATATATATTTTTAAATAAATATTTTTAATAAAAATATTGATATTTTTACTCTTAAATAAATATTTATCAAATTTAAATTATAAATAATTTTTTAATCTTTTTTTACATATTTTTAATGTTTGCATTGAATTATATCTATCGTTTTAAATTTTTTATTAAATTGTGTTTTAAATAAAATTTTATGTAAGTTCTATCCACAAACAAGCACCCCTAACTTTTTCCTTTTTTCTAATATTTGTTTTTTTAAATTGTTGCTTATTAAGCCTTTCTTTCTTTTAGTACTTTAGTTTTTCTTCGTTATATGTATAGTCTGACTCCGCCTTCCTCCCTCTTCTAGGAGCTCCATCGGCAGACCAGTCGATCCACAGTGGCCCTTTCTTCCACCAAAATTTTGGTCACATCACTAGTTAGCCCCACACTCTCACCCTCTTCAGAAATCATGAATTCATATTTTCTCATGTCCATGATTCATACATTATGGTTAATAAAAAAAAAATATGCCCCGATATTTTTTTTTAGAGCAAAAAAAAACTTTGGACTTCAGTGTCTATCCTGTTTTAGTTTTTGAACGTGATCCGATATCAAGATCAAATTCAGAAGCTGTTGAGGGCCATCGGACAAAGAAGGATGGAAATAATGGCCTAATGGGCATATTTTTCTTCAACTTTCTATATATTTAAATGTAAGACACAGTTGAATATCCTTAATTAATTACATCTTTATTGGGGAGCAAGTGAAAGCTAGGTGCTTTAATTGTATACAACATTGTACATCTGTTCAGATTCTCATGTTTCGGTGGCAAATGTTTTATAATGAAGATTTTATCCTTTCTTAGACAAATTAAAAGGGATCTGCCCTACTCCCCCCCCCCCCCTCTCTCTCTCTCTCTCTCTGAGTTTCATGATAAGGAGTTTCTAGCTAGTACCCTAGTATCATTACAGCCATCCTCGCTCTAATCTTTCATTTTATATATGCTTAACTTGCAATCATTGATTATTATAAAGGGAATGGTTTTGCTAATGTCATGTATGACTCCCAAAAACCGGCTGAGTGCGATTTTTTTTTTATAAATTAGCCAGACAGAGATGCTCTTTTTTGTTGCTCTCTCCATGCATCTGATCCTTGTTGCAGTAATCTGACCATTTTTTTTTATATTAATACATCTAAATCTCCATTACCATTGCTAGAAAAATATGTGTATTAATTCTATAATAAATGAAACCATGGGATACACAGCTTAATTCTCTAGTACCCTTTTCGTGATCCTTTTCTTTTATTAATATCTGTTTCAACTTCATTTGAAAGAATAAATAAAGCAGATTATATCAAGGTTTTTCATCTTCCAATCTTCATATATAAGTTAACAAAATTCAACAACCAAGAAATGAAGTTTCTTAATAGTAACAACTAACAATGTTGAAAACATCTTGGAAGTTTACGCATTTTTTACTTGCAATATTGGACATTGCCACGCTTATCTTAATTAATTTTTTTAATTAACTAATCTTTTCTTCGTGTTCATATATACAAAGCTAGGAGCCTAATCTTTGCCACTCAAGTTGACCAATCTAATTGCCTAACTAAACTTAAATGGCAATTGGCAAGTTATACTAGATAAGGTAATTTAATCCGAATCTGATGGGTTTCAACCTGATTTGATCTTTTAAAGTCAATTTTTTTTTAAAAAATTAGGTATCGGGTCGAGTTAAATCAGGTAATATAAAGAAGAATTCAGGATTGAGTCGGGGTTAGGATCTTAGATAAATCTGACCCTATCCGATTCAATATATATATATAATTATTTTTTAATTAATTATTTATATATTTATTTTATATTTATATTTAAAAATAATATTTTATATTTAAAAATAATATTTTATTAATTTTGGGTCTGATTTAGTCAAATAAAATTTTATACAATGTCGGATTCAAATAAAAAAAATAAAAAAATTATTGGGTCGAATCGGATTTGAATTTTATATATATATAATGGAATCGAGTTCGAGGTGAGCAAAAACCCATCCTAACCCGATCTATTATCATCACTAAGTTATAAGCCTTCCGGACTATATGGATGACATAGGAAATGATTATTATTGAGTAAATGATTATTAGGTAGAGTGATCGGTTCTCAATTTCAATAATCAAAAAATAAACTTGACAGTCTCAAATAATAAAAAAATATTATCGTTTAGTTATAGAAAAATTTGCTTTCAAAAAAAGGGTTTACTAAAGATTAACGTAGCCAAATCTTCTAGCTATATATAGATTAGTTGTCCAAAAATAATTTTAGATAATTTCTAGCTAACATGGAAAATTGTTATGTCGTTGTTCATGAAAGAAACTCAACTTAAAATCATGTATCTATAAATAGGGGAAATTTACATTTATCACAATTTGAACAAGCCAGCTTGATAAAAATGTGAAATTAATTGATTGAAGAATATAGCTATTTCAGTTTTGAAGAAAAAAAAAAACTATTAGCCATCTAAACTATAATGGAGAGCTGCACAAATTGGTGTTGTAATCTAATCATTAGATCTAATTAATAAATATATGAAGGAAGGTGTGAAACGTGGGATCTAACAGCAAACATCATTCTTTTATTGATTTGCCAAGAAATAAAGCGATGGAGGAGAATATTCAGAACAAGACAGCAATGAAACTTGCCTTGTTGTTGGAAGATATAATGGTATATACTGTTAAATTTCTATTAACTTGAAAGTCATATAAATTTCAATTTAGCGGTACATAGCATGATAGAAATTCTCAGGTGATGATGACAATTGACAATTGACCTTAACAACAGAAATCATATCGAGTTAGGTCCAAATCATGTCATCAGGGACTGTGAAGGTTGTCGTTTGTTTATCTTCTCTTTCAAATTAACTGGGCTGAAATCTCTGACCGTTTTCTTAAGGTTTTTCGAATGTGGCTGAAGTCAAGTTAATATTTTATTCGAGATTATAATAAAAAATTACTTTAAAGTGGTAATCTCTCGTTATATAGAGTTCTTGATAGTCCATGAAAATATAATAAAATTTTAAATAAATTAGATAATTTATATGTTATGTAAGAAAATTTTCTCTGTTCATGTGTTTTTTTTTTTTTTTAAAATCAATCATTTTGTCGGATTCATTACAAAGTTGGAAGTTTACCGAAATTTTGATTAATTAATGATTTGGCTACAATTTCATAACACTTTCCTATTAATAATATTCTTTGTTTTAATTTCCAAAAAAAAATTCAAATCATGCCATATGAGATGCTTAATGTCCTTATAGTTTATCTTGTAACTTTGAAAGCCAAACAATTTGCAAAACCAAACGAAAACACAACCAAAATTAGAATTTGACGTCCCATGCATTTACGTTGGACGTTACACTTCAAATCATTTTCCTTTTTCTTTCTTGCAAGTAACAAAGAATCCGTCCGTTGGTTATAATAATAACTCCAATTCTGATGTTCGGTTGTATTAACTTTATCTCTATAATATGAGCCTGAAAACAAAATACAGCAGCAATAAATGACAAACCTTCTTTTAACATACATTCATACTTATCAATTCCACTAAATTTAACAGGCTATAAAATACAATTTTTAAATCACATCAAATAATTTGTATCAAAGGCCCTGCCTGCAAGTTGGGTAATGCTTAAAAAAAATGAAAGGCTTAAGTAAGAGATGGGATTTATTAGAGGCAGAGATGGTGATAGCCAACAGCTAGCTAGGTTATTTATAGCCTTCACTGTGCTGCTTTTTGCTCGAAGCAATATCATGTCACTTCATGCAAGTTGTTGAAAATTTGTCGCGGCAGGTACAGCATGTTCAGGTCATTCCAAAACCAATGCCCATAATAATTTGCTGCTTGAAAGACTTTCCCTAGGAGATGCGGGATGGGGTCCCCCTGCCATCGCTTAGGCGCAATGACAGGTTGCTTGTTGGGTGCACCATCAGAAAAAGAACTTACGGACCAAAAATTTTACGAACATATAAAATATAAACTATAAAATATATAAAAAAATATATTATAATCCCATCAGACATTACTTAGAAAAAGCAAAATTATTGAATTTGAAATGTAATTTAATTAATTATTTTCAAATAATGATATTTAATATATTTTAATTTAATAAATATAACTTATAAACATGATATTCGTCTAATTTTTTATTATTTTAAATATAAGAAACTTACAAAAATCTTGTTTTCGCAATATATAAATAAATTTTGATTAATTGTTATACGAATTGCTTTTTGTACTGAAGCTTCTACTTTATTCAAGTAAGAAATCAAAGACCAGAGAGGAAGGCCGAGTATGATCTATTGTCTGCCTTATAATCGACCTGCTAGAAAAAAAATATTGGTGCATCCCACTTGTAACAAGAAGTGACATTTCACTGACCAATGAAGCATGCTCGCAACTCATCTTATAATCTTATTGGCTTCTGACACTGTCAATCCACCAGGTGGCTTCATAACATGAGGACAATTATTCCATCTCATGAAATGACACTTGGACTCAATAATGGCTCGTGATTTGAGTTGTCTATCAATCACCAAAATGAAGAGCAAATTCTGGGCACAAATGTTTTATCAATATTGCTTCTCATAAACTCATGTTAAAAGAAAAATATCAAGAATAAGAAGCTTCTATTCTTTTGATAATATTCGAACTGTTAAGTTAGCAAAGGAATGATAATTTTCAATGCCGGATTTTGCTGAGCAATAACCTAGTTAAGGCCATAATGGCCCCTCGTTTAAGTTGCATAAATACTAGCAAATTTTTTATTTTAAAGGAATATACAATAGCTAAGTTTGAAGAATTGTGAAGTTATAAAAGAACTGTGATTGTAGCTCGAATATATAACATAAGAATTAGATTCCTTGATGAATGTTTTTCAGCTTCTAAGTCAGTTCTATAAATTTATATGGTTTCATCGAGGGATATAAATTCAAAGGTTTCTTGGTAATAGGAGTCATTATAGCTAGATTCCATGATCCTTTAGAGCATATAGATAAATAAGGACAAATTTATTTGCTTCAAACTACTTATAATAATAAATAGCTAGACGTTAACCTAGTATTAAACCACTAATTATACAAATGAAGTTGGCTGCCGTCGTTTTCTATGGCTGGTGCTAGCATATGAAATGCGAAAATTTTAATATACATTAATTTTATATTAGGATTACTATTTGAATTTAATTCTTTGAATAGAAAAAAAGTGTATATTTCAATTATTAAATCAAATATTTGGGTGTCAAAATCTTTAACAGAACAAAAAATATCTTGAGAAAATATATAAACATTAAAAAAATTATTGTGCAAATCTTGCAGATGCATTTGAAACGTGCACATATATATATATATATATATATATATAGATAATGATTAGTGTAGTCAAAATCAGGATTGCTTATTTCTAAATTATTTTCTTTATACAAGATATATCCTCATCATGAACCATATAGGTGTCAGCTTAATCAAATAGATAAGCATGAAGAAGCATGTTCATGCAAAAAAAAAAAAAGTGCTTGATTAATTGAAATATGAATAGAAAATGATAACAAATAAATATATATATATATAAATAAGAGTTTATATTTGATAAATTGTTTAGTATATAAATTTTATATATTTTTAATAAATTATATGATATAATCTCATTAATAAGTAAATATCAGTCTTTAAAATAAACATATAAAAATTAATATTTTTTAAAAAATTTACTTATAAATAAAATAATATCATATGATTTATTTAATTAATAACATAATATAATTCAATTCACTAACATTATATAAAATTTATATACTAATAGTACATCAAATATAAATCTTATAAACAATATTGGACATTAATCAAAAGAAAATGGAAGAAAATCAAATCCCTGTGGCTGCAAAGATTTTTTTTCTTAGTTTTTTCATGATTTAAGGTGGAATCTAATGTGAGGATAAGTATGTTTGAAAGAATCACGCAATATTCCAATCAAGAGTTTGGCACGTTATTCCTTAAAATTTGTTATAGAACTAGAGTACTACTTTTCTATCTCCATATATATTCCATGTTTCTTCATTTTGCTTTCTTGGTTAAGTGTCCAAGAGATTTCCTTGTCCTGATGCATGAACCATAGCATTTGGTCTTCCACGCTTCTAATTGCAATGGGAAACACATTTTAGACTAGTGATTTCCCTTTTTATATAAACAAAAGAGGTATCTTCCAAGTTCCAATATTTCAAGAAGTAGGTCTATGGAAATAGATAAGTATATATTTATACTACTTTGCGACAAAAGGGTAGGTAAATTTCTATCAGAATTCCGCTCAGATTGATTTTGATCGACCCATCAACAATGTTTGAAGTACTCGAAAGTCAAACAAATTCAGCAATTTTTTTTTTTAATGTTTTGAAAATTTGTTCAATCCATTCCGTTCTATTCTTCTTTATTGATTCTTAACATAGTAAATATTTGAAGGATGCTAAATCATGTATGCATTTGAGAAAAATAATAGGATTTGATAATAGATAGCGAGAGGGTTAATTAGCCATGCATACATGATTTAGCATATGCCCGGCATGTATTAGCCATGCATATTTGTGACCCATGCTGCCATTCATCAAAACCTGACATAATTTCCTGGAGAAAAATGTGTGTTATACAGATTCTTGCACTCCATAGAAAAAAGGCACATACCATGTTAGAGTCATCCAAAGTCAGACGAGAGCTTATCTGAAACAGCCAAGTTACAACCCAGGTAGATCACCGTACGACTAGTCCACGTCAAGGGCACCATTCCTTAGCTACAAGACATTCCAAATTGTACGATCGAAAGTTCGATTCTTATAAATTTGTCACAACTCAAACAATAATTCTACCCAATCCCGACAAGCTCTAGCTACCGTGTCATGTTTCCAACTTTAAATCCTAGGGCTTTCGCTTTCAATCTAAATTATATATTCTTGACAAAAGCCTAATTGATTAGTTTAATTTTTTTTTCATATATGTTTTAATCGCGACTGGCGATCGAAGAAACTATTTTTTCCTGTTTAATCAAAATTGTTGCTCCGATTCCTAAATTATTTGATTATATAGCTGGTAATGTTGAGAAAAGTAGCAACAAAATATTACAAAAATTTTTCATAGATTGTCGTTTGATTATATTAACGGTCAAATTTCGTCAGTAAAAAAATTTTTACTAATAAACTTTTAATATTATCAAAATATATTATATTTATATTAATATTTTATTTAATTATCGATATAAATAAAATTTTTTATGATATATAATTATTTATCAATATAAATATAATATATACTGATGATTATTATCGTAATTATTAATATAAATTCAAAACAAAAAAATTATTGACTTACAAAATATATATCTAAAAAAACTCGGGTTGCCAACAGGCACAACACCTTTTAATAGAATAGTAAAATTTTAATTTTAATAATCAAAATTTAAATATTAAAAAATAAACTTGTTTTAAGTCTAACAAAAGAGCAACATGAAGAAAAACAAAAACCAAGTACCAACCCCATAAAAAAAATTTTAAATCTAATTTTTTATGTTTATTCTTTATATTTATAAGAAAAAATTGAAGTGAATTGGTATCTAACCTTCAACAATAAAAAAAATAAGCAGACTAAGAAATTGGATTTAACATGTCTATTTGAGACAAATATCTTATAAGAAACTCAAACAATGGCCCAAACCCAAAAGAAAAAAAAAAAGCATCACATGCTATAATGCTATGGTGGTACGGACCAGATGAAGATATCAGAGGGAAAAGGGGGGTGCCACTGCCATTATCCGGTGCATGGTTCATTGCAGGTGCCCAAAATTATGTCTTTTCAAGAAAGGATAAATCACATAATAAATTCATGACATATATCACATCAAAATCAATGTGGGGGGTGGGGTCATCACCAAAGTAAAATGAATCAGAAAAAAAGACAAAAAGTCTTTGAATTGTAACTAGATATAGTGGAAAACATAATTTTCTATCATGTTTGGTGAAATTGCACTTGCCAATCCCCATTTGCTTCCACCAAAATTTAGGTGTTTTTTTGGTGCCTTCACGCAAATAAATTTCGCATACGATAACTTAAGAGATTCAAAAAAGGAAAATCTTGTTGATTTTTAGAAATAAAATTAAAGTCAAATGTGCTAGAGTGATCAACCAAAAATAGAGGAGGAGAATATTTTGTTCCAAGCTTTAAGTGTTGTGAATCTGGGTTCGGCCTGCAAAACCTAAGCCCCAAACTTGGTGTGAAATTGAGTTGTGGTGAAATTCTAGGACCAATTGTTGGCCTGTTATTTTCGGACTAAGAGTCCAAATAACATGATGGAAGCCCATTTTCCACCTGTGTTTAAAAATGAATGGCCTCATCGGCCATGGCCCTCAAAGAAAATGTGTAGAAGAAAAATGAAATTCTTATGCTCGCTGGTTTTAGCTTTCTTTCTTTTTATCCATATCTCAAACAGTTCTGTATAACTGGGCATGTCATTTCCTTGAAAAATAAGGAATACCCATGTCGTGTCTTGAAGAGTTTTCCCCTGGTAAGAAGCTTTATTTCATTGTTTTCTTTATCTATTTGCTGAACATGAATATGTTGTGAAGGTTTTTGATGTTCTCTTCTTGAGAAGTTTTATTATTATTATTATTATTATTATTCGTGGAAATTTTCCATTGTTGTATATCTAAAGGGACTTTAGCAATACAAGCTGCAAGAATTATAGTTGTCTACTTATGAAAAAATTTTAGCCTTTTCCAGGGAAGAGAAATGATGGGATTTTGAGTTTTTTTTTTATTTTTATATTTTTATTCCTTCACACATAACATTAGCTTTTGTTTAATGGGAAATCATTTATGTATTGAATCTATAATAAAACTAAGCTGAACCCTTCTTATTCCAACCTGACAAACCTATTATTATTAATTAGTTAGGGAAAAATACAAAATATTTTTTTCTCCTTTTATCTGATTGTGAAGGCTCTATGCCCCGTAACTTTCAAGGGAATAAACAATGGGGTATGATTTGTTGAGGTGTTGAAGGTAAGTGTTGAATATCTTTTTAGATATTAGATGTCTTGTAATAACCTATTTGCATATTTATGATATATTGGTGCGTGCCCTTCAATAAGATTGCAAGTAAGTTTTGAGTTATTTTTCAGTTTTGGGATAAGTGTGGGTAATTTCTTGTCCAAAATTCTAAATCTTGCTTTATCTTTGCAATACATAATTTTGACTATTGCAGGTATCAGCTATGATCAATTGTGGGTTCCTCTTTTAGTGGGACTTCTGATGCCTAGGCCATCCTTATTCTGGTAACTAAGTTACAGTTGGAATCTAAATCTAATTTTGTTAAACTAATCAAATTCTGTCAAAGCAATTTAACTCCCACTCTTAAATGGATATCTTCAAAATCTGCTTTGCCCATTTTGCTTTATTGTTTATCTAGTTTTACAGTTAATTCCTTCTGACGTCCCATCTTCTTATTGTGCACTAGCTTTGCTGTTCTCCTATTATTTTATGACAGATTCAAATTAGTTGTGGCTGCTGGGTATAAGGGTTATAATGTTGGATAGTTATTGGATGTTCTAGGGCTGGGGACAGGAGAAAAAAGCTAATGTGATTGCGGATCAGATTAAAACGAATATGATATCAACAATCACTTTAGTGAGATAGACAATAGTTATAGTTATTGAACGACTGGTAAATAGTTAACAGAGAAGTGGTTAAGTTGGGGGTGAATGAATCAATTTTTGGTGCTTTACAATTAGGATTCCTCTCCTTCAGGCACGTGTGGCTAGCTTCTTAAAGAAACAACACCCTTTTAACCAGATGTTGTCTCAACTTGTGGTGATTTGCACAACCCTAATACAAATAAAGCATAGGTTACTCGTTATAACTTCTGTTAAATTTTAAATTAGTTTACTTTTGTATACTCCACTGTGGATTATAATATCTCTAGTGCAATTAATATCTTACAGAAGTGCATATTTTCTCCTTTGAGTAAAACATACTCTACCCTCTTTCAATCTATTTGTCACAGGATTTATAGATGTCTCTAAGTGGTTACTACAGAAACTGAGAAAACTTTTTTATGTTCAAGTGAATGTTTCTCGTTTTCTTCTGGGAATTTCTGTGTTGCTATCATACCCCATGATTCACTCAATGTTAGCAGCCATTCAAGAAAAAGATATGTAAATCTTGACACAAGAACTCATCAGATAAACGTAAAATTTAACCTATAAAAGGAGGATATAGTGGATGTGTTTTTAGTATACTCTATTTTTATTCCTTGTTTTAAGTTTAACTGGTGTTAATTGAAATGTTGTTAAAAGAGTTTGTATCTGGGATGTTCTCTGGTACTACTTTGGTGTTTTCCTAAAATAATGTGTTAAGAAGGATAGTATGAATCTGCATTTGTTACAGAACAAGGACAAGGACCTTCATAAGAATTGGGAAAAAAAATCTTATAAGAATCTCATTTAGGCAATCTCAGCCTTAAGGAGTTGATTGTTGTGCCTGTCATATGGCGTCTCTTGGATGCATTTGGTATGGAGTGGTCGCTCTTTTCTTTCTTCAGGAAAAGCAATCTATTTTAAGAAAATAGTATAAAATTGGAAAGAAGAAATTCAAATCTATTTAGTCTTATGTGCTAGTGCATTCTTTGTTTCTCTCTCTTGAAGGGCACTTGATCTACAAGATTCGTTGCAACACTTTAGAACAACAATAACAACAACAACAACAACAATAATAATAACAATAACAATAGTGATATAATAATAATAATAATAATAATAATAATAATAATAATAATATAGCTTAGCCTCATATATTTACTGGATTTTATTATTTCAATGCATTAAGAGTTATATGTTTGTGACATTTCTTTGCTATTCTCTGCACAATACATGCACCTTTTTGACACTTAAATTGAGCATCAAATCATTAGTCTAAATTTTGCACATTCTAGAGTGGACATTATTGAAGCTGTTGAGTATTGTTAGAGCATCAATATGTAGCAACCATGACGTATTTTATTCCAGCTCTTCGCTTTCCTGTAATTTAGTAATGCAGACACATCAGATACCTTGAATGGACATTGGATTTTTGGTAAGACTGTCTAAATATCGAGAAAAAATTAAGAAAATTGAATGTATATTTGTTGAACATGAGAATGTCTGACACTGATATTAAGTCCGGGCCACATAGTTATGACATTGAGAACAGGCCTTGGATGCACCCGCTTTCCTTTTATGTTTTACTCCATGTTCCAAAATTACCCCTTAACTGACACTCAAAAATTAGGTGCCAGATTGTTTCATGACCTTGTAATAGTCGGTGTCGTTTCTACGTAGTCTTGACATTTGTTTTGCAAGATTTGATACTTTCCATGGCCATTTATTACTATTCTAAATGTGGGTTATTGCGGACAAGGCCGCTTTAAAGCGGTTTTAGCATAGGATCTTTCTTATGGCAACTTTTTTTTCCCATTTATGCTTTCTCTTAAATGGCTTTTATTGTAATTGTCGTTTACATTAATTTCTGTTAATATCTATGACTTGTTTCTTCGCCCTGAAAGGGCTATAAAATGGGGTAAGAAACTGGGCCTTCTTCCCCTTCTCAAGGTTACTTTTAGCTTTGTAGTTTCTATCTCTTATTGAAAGGAGCTGAATTGTGTGTTCCTTTCTTAGTTTCCACCATGAATTTCCTTTTGGCTAAAGAAGATGCAGAGAAGAAAGCAGGTACTAAATCATGCTTCTATTGCAACAAAGTATTCAACAACTATCGAGCTCTAGGTGGCCACCTTAGGATTCATCAGGAGGATAAGACATTGAGGTCCTTGAATTATCCTGGTCGTTCCAGTAATTCCATGGACATTACTAGGAATCCTCCTGCATCCCTACCAATTGGCCAACGGAACTCATCAGCTGGTGGGAACAACCCGACTCCATTCACTAGAGCACCCCCTCCGCTTGACTTTTCTAGGATGTTCTGCTCAAATGAAGCAAACCAGGCAAGTAGGAGCAAATTCACTGGCAGCAATCCTGGAGTTGCACAAGCTCAGATTATCATGTCTCCAGACTTCTCACATGGCTGCAGTAGTGGTTCAACTTATCACCATAACAGTTTGGCTTCAAGAGCATTTGTTCCAGCTGGTGCCAATGCAGCTATGTCTTCTGCTGCATTTGCTCCATCTGGTAGTGGTGTCGCCACTGGCTTTCCTATAGATGCTTCATTATGTTTGGGCTCAAATGGAGGCTGTCAGTTTAATACTGATGAATTTCAGATTAGCCCGGACGGTTTGCCAACATCCTCTGCAGATACCTTGCAGAACATTCAAGGTTATAATCTTTGTAATCTTCCAAATCCTACCTTTGTTTTAACTAACCCTGACCTTGGTTTGGGTCATATCAGTTGCCTGCCTTAAATGAATCTATTGCTGTTTGTGCCTTTTCTCAGGTCCTCCTCCATGCTCAACCCTGGATAAAGTTGGTCAATATGATAGAAGAAGTTTGTTGACTTGCAAAGAAGGTAAGAAGCCCTACTTAGCTGATGGATCAGGGAATGCTGACATAACGAATGCATCAAAAAAACCTAGGATTGCCCCCGTTGCACTTGTGGAACCAGAGAATCTTCAGACAAAAGAGCTATCACTCTTCGTGGATTTTGATGATTCAATTTCTGCACCGGAGAGTTGTTTTAATGCTGAAGACAAAGGTCCAGCAGACGTAGATTTGTCTCTTCATCTGTAGACTTGTGTGTTTCTCTCTATAATAAATAAGTAATAGTAGAAGAATAAAGAAGTGGTCTCTCTTGTCTTGCCCTCCCCACCCCCTAAAAAAAAAGGAATGTAATGTTTCTATGCACTGCTGAACTATTTACAAAATGCATATTCGGTTTGGTTAAATTTTATATCATCTATTATGAAATTTCTTCTGGATTGTGGAGTTTGATTAATCTTTGCATTGCTTAACTGGGTCTTGAATTTGAAAACTTGTAAATAAGTTCTTATGATTGGTTTTATAGAATCATATAGACATGAGAGAGAGGAAACAATTGGAATTGGAAAAGCGACGTTTTAGTTTTGGACTTCGTTCTGAATGTAGATACATGGAAACAAGGCTTTGGTCGAAGTTCAGTGTTCAGCATTATCACCTACAGTTGTTGTCTCTTATGTCTGGAGCAGTTTATATTCTTCCTAATAACACTAGTATTTGTCTTAGTTAGGGTCCTTTTCGGCACTGCTGTAAACTGTTCTGGAGTAGTTGTTAGAGCAATGGCTTATGTATTACAATCTTTCTCTGATCTTGGAGCATGCTTCTGTACAGACTGATTAGGTCTAGGCAATGGAAAAGATTGGATGGAGATGCAGAAGCCGTTCTGAAATTGTTCTTGGTATTAACTTGTTTGATGCTACCATGCTTGGCTCTAAATGTAAATACATAATGTCCTATGCTGCCATCTAGTGAAGGTGTGCTGCAGCATCTTAGCGGTAAAATTTTTCCACCAAAACTAAACCTTTTTACTTTAGTGCTGAACTCAAGTTTTAATAATCAGATCTTTCAGTGGAAATTAGACCAGGTGATTTGGGGTTTCAATGCTGCACTATTGATTTGGCTTAAAGATTTGAATGATTAAGTGGAGGTTTGGATTTCATTGCACTTTCAATATGGTGTAGTTGTTGAGTTTATCGCATTATTAATTAAATCCAAATATTAATTCTAGTAAAATTCATTCAATATAAATTTTTTTATGAATTTTTTTTTAATTATAATTACAATAAATTTTTTTAATTATAATTATTTAAATATTATTATTATTTTTAATTTTATCAAAATTAATCTCATCGATAGTTCAAATAGACTTTAATCAAACCAAACTAATTTTGTTTCTCAAAATTTGCCCTGGTTTTGCCCATTTACTCTTCCCTTCAAGTATGCAGTTACTAGCATTTATGATCATTTTAGTGTCATCATATGGATACCTAAACATGTGTATCAGTACCTATCATTGAAAACCATAATGAACTTTCAAAAAATATATTCCATCTTTAGGGATTGAAAACTAAGGTAATTATTAAATATGGTACACCTGTTTATTTATTGTTTTCTTAAGCATGATGGGTAACTTTCTATATCAAAACCTTTTTAGGGATTAATCAATGTAAATATAGAAGGTGACCTTCCATTGCCTTTTTTGAAGGATGTATGATTAATATTTTTTTTATATGGTAATTAATGTAGATATAGATGGTGACATTCCATTGCCTTTTTTGAAGGATGTGTGATTAATATTTTTTATTATGGTATAGAATTAAATTATTCCTGAATATCAATTAGGTATGCTTTTGAGCAATGATTTCTACTAAAATTTTCCCCTTTTGGGGAATTTTTTTATGAAAAAAAAGAAAAGAGCAATGTTTTCTTTAGGGAAAAAGAAAAATATTCTGCCAAACAATATAATGAAAAAAAGATTAAAAAATTCAAGGTTTTAGAAATAAGAAAAAAGTTTGCCTTGAATTGAAAATTCCAGTAACGGTAGGAAAATGATATGCCTCTCAAATGTACATGTTGGTTGTATCTATATGATTATGAGCCTCGACAAGGAGTCAAAATGCAAAGTTCAACCAACATTTTCCAACTTTCCATTGTGAAAATTAGATCCAAATGTTGAAGTCCTATATGTTAAAAAGCTAGAAAATGTAAGAATCCTAAATAATATGAATGTGAGGCATTTAACCTTGATTTTAAATTTTTTTATAAAAAAATGGTAGATTAATAATAAAAAAGAAATTATAGCTATTAAAATATAAAATCTATATTTATTAGATATAATTTTTTTAAAATTTTTAATATATTTTTAAAATCCTCTATCTTATTATATATCTGACTGAAAAAATATTAAACGTCTAAATTTTTTTAAATTCGTAATCTTTAAGTGTCAACTCTAATAATATATTAATTGATCTAATGATAGTTAGTAATTTTATTAAATACCATCTTAATTACATAATATCACTTAATTTTTATTAATTTTTTTTTTAGAGGCTTTAACATTTTTGTTGAGATAATATTCATATGCAAAACAAAACAAGGTTGAAATGGATGGTTTGGTGGCTGTAGGTGCTTGAACCATACCCTTAAAATTGGGCTTTGACGATCTTATGAAAATGAAATGCGTTTAGTAGCAGTCGTGTGATAACAGCATGCAATCTTCCCTTTTAAACTTGGGACAAATAAAACAGTTCTAAATTCCAACACCCGCAGTTTATAGAGCGTGTCAACATGCTGCCAACCTTTTGCTCTTCTACTTTTGTTGACCGATGTTGGAATACTTATTTGGGGCGTGGTTTTAATGGGCCTACACCGAATCATCGTCCATCCTTTGTTTTGTACCTTTGATATAATTTTAAGGGGAATACAGGAAAGTCCGGTGGATGGTGTCAGGGACCTCTTTCATGCTAAACCAGCGTTAAATCTCTTCAAAAGTCACCATCTTTTATAGAAACTATTCAACAAAAATCCTTCTTTGTAAGTCTTACATGTCAGTTCCCCATCTGTTTTCCTCTTCTTTATGCTATCTGGTTTGTTTTTAAGTTATATAGGACAAGATATTTTCTGGGTTAAGCCTCTTCTCTAAATTAATAATCTCTGCAGGCCATAAATACTTGATTTCTATGCGATATAAGGCAGTTTTTTTTAATGGGTTTTTAGTTTTCTGATTGGATAGGAGCAAATTTATCTCCTAGTAATTGCTTAATCTATATGTTTACTGATCATGAGCTCAGTCAAATTATGTCTTGCTGTTGTTCTCATATGAATTATTACCCATAACATAATAGAATCACACTAATGAACTAGGCATAAACCGAAAAGTATCGACATAAACTTACACTGACGTTAAAGGAAAGTTTAACTAGATTTGACATTTGCAAGCTTGGTTGATGTGCAGAAAGGATAATAGATTTTTCTTCAATGAGTATTATCATTTGATTAAGTATGGTCAATTATTGTCACTCACAGTGCATGAGCCATGCAGTTGCTGCTTTAAGCTTTTCGAGGGTAAAAGTCTGTTTAGGTGTGATTTGAGATTCTAGTGTACTCCTTAATTACAAGATATTGTTCTTCCATTTGCTGCAGGCAGCTTAAAGATTCACTGGCTGGAAGCCTGGAACAGATTTCTACAGTAGTCAGAGAACAGTTTTAGATGGAAAGCTAAGGAATATTTGAATCTTGGAAAAGCATTATCTTACATGTTAAGCCAACTATTGATGCATAAGTCAAAAGCCCAAAGCATAGGCATGTATTCTGGGGGAAGGGAAAAAGGAAGAATTTGAAGCTGTAGCAGTTCTGATTTTTGACTGGTACACTACCAACAAAAAGCAAGATCTTCTATGAATTTATTTCAACATGTAAACTGTCCTCTTTTAACACTTGATGTAATGAAAATCATTACCATTTTTAGTTTATGCTTTGTTACAGAATTTCCCCGAAGGAATCTTATTAGTTATAGTAAGTGGAAAGCGTGGTTAATTTGTGAATAGCTGACCATTTCCTTTCCAACAGGCTGATGCTATGCACCGTTGTTTTATTTTTTGATATTTGGGTAAATCGGATTGGGCCATTTTGGAGATAGTAATGGTTTTCTGAATCTGATAATGACTGAAGTTGACTTGAAATACTAAAAAATTTGATTGAAACCCTTTTCCATGATAAGAGTTCATTTTCAGCTTCACTGCTTGACCATCATCTTCATCTCCTTGAGATTTGAGAGTGAAAACCAAAAACAAGCAACAAAAGTTAAAGGCTCAAGGAACAAAACGATAGGAGAAACCCCAGTAAACCCAAGTAGAGCCCAAATCTACTATGAAGCAGCAGGGCAGGTGTCCAGATGTGATGGGCCGGACTCAATTGATAACGACAAGAAAGTTGGGCCTTGAGACGTAATTGATAAAGAGAAGTCATAAATTTCTTAAGAACCCAAAATAATTCTGAAATTCATTTTATTTTTGAAAGAAAGAGGTGATCATCTGACTTGAGAGAGAGAGAGAGAGAGAGAGAGAGAGAGAGAGAGAGAGAGAGGAGGGAGATAATGGCAGCAATAACGAGCGCAGTGATAGCAATAGCAGGAGTGGTATTAGGATGGATAGCAATCGAGATCGCTTGCAAGCCTTGCCTCGAGAAAGGCCGTCAAGCCATCGACCGATCTCTTAACCCTAATTACGACCCCGACGACGATGACATCAACAACATCCGAGCCCCTCTCAACCCAAGCCCAGATCTTGAATCTCAGCCTGATAATGAAACTTCTTCATCCACTTCAATCAAAGCCGTTTGATGGTTGCTACAAGAAACTTTTTTCTTATTCTTTGTTTCCTTTTTCAAAATTAACAGAAAAAAAAAAAAAAAAAGAGTTGGGTGTGTTGGAACTTGTTTGTTATTTTTCTTTTTGTTAAGATATTCAGGTAACGGCGTTGATGTTTGAATGAATGAATGAATATGGTTTTCCATTGTTTTGGTATTGGGTTTGTGTTAGGAGTGACATAATTTGGAGTTGTTTTGGTTTAACGTATTTGTTTGTATTAATGTTAGCTCAATGTCGGTAATCAATTAAGAGCTTTGATCCAATCAAATCAAACAAAAAAGCTCTCGAGATATTCGAATCGATAGAGTCCATCTGCTCATATGCTTTCAAAAGGAAACATAGGAGAGACGCAGACCCAAGAAAAAAAAAATTGCAGCTTATTTCAAGTGACTAAGTGTCAAGTCCGTAACAAAATGTATCAAAATAGAGGCTTAAATATGCTTTTACAACTACCAAGTTACTACTGTACATGGATCTGACAAGGGACTTCGGCTGAGCTCCAGTGTCATTTACAGTAAGATGATATCTATCACCGACGGAAAGAAGAAAGGAAAACTATGCCAAGTAATTATATATTTGTGGGTTGTTCTTGTCCCGCTCCAGGTACTCCCTGTCAATGAGAGACTCGATTCTTTTCTTCAAATCAGCCGGTTTTATGGGAAACTTAAGCTGTTCGACAAAGAAACTTATTCTCAATATGAGTATGTCCAAATGCAACTTAAAAACATATTATCCCTTCGATCCCATGTGTCTAAGAGATCATCAATTTCAGTGATTTAACCATGGTACATTAAGGTTAGTTTTCACATTTCAAATGAATCAAAAATATTTTGGCGATAAGAATAGAGCAGCAACAGCTTCCACTTTATTTATTATTGGTTAAGATTGTTTGTGACCAAATGTTACCGGCGAAATTTTTAAAGATCCGTTTGTTATACACAATGCA